CTTGACTTGATGACCAGGTAATCTTCGTTTTCTAAAAGGAGAAAACAGTGGATGGTAGTGAAATCTTTCAATCTCTGAGTACACCCAAACTACTTCTGGTTGAAGGTATCCATCTCTTCGTGTTGCTTATGTCGAGGAGAAGGAAGTTCTGAATGGCGATAAGGTTTATTCTTCGTTATTGATTAAAGGTGTCAATGGATTGGATCAGGTAATGAGTTCCTCAAAAGTTGTGCTATTGTCCATGGATTGTACAAATGCGACTTATTTCCTTAAGATTTCAATATTGAAGCCTATTTTTTTAAGCTCAGGCTTTCTGGTTTGTTCAAATGTTAATCTACTATTTGGAAGCCTCTTCTGCATGGAACCACTGTTACACACACTTTGTCATCTTATGGCTTATCAATATAGGAAATTTATCGCATAAAGCTACCTGGTCAACCCAATATCGGAGAAGGCAAACCTGAAAATCAGAATCATGCCATAATATTTACTCGTGGTGAAGCTCTTCAAACCATTGATATGAACCAAGTATGTTCTTCTGCCTCAATGACTATATGGTTAGCATAATCCAAGCATTTTATCCTAAAGTTGGTGGTGTTTTGCAGGATAATTATTTTGAAGAAGCTTATAAGATGAGAAATCTTTTGCAAGAATTTCTTAAGCGGCAAGGACGAAGAGCTCCCTCAATACTTGGTCTAAGGGAAAATATATTCACTGGAAGGTTATACCTTCTTATCAGATGCTGTTAGTTTATTCTTGTGTATGGCTATACAAGTTATGTCAATGTTAGTTGTTGCCAAATTCAAAGGAATACTTGAAGCTAGTAACATCAATAGAAAGCAAACCAGGCACTCCTTCTGAATCGACCTCGTCTACTAGCTAGCTAAAAACTGGTTTTCTTATGGTTCCACCTAGGACCATGGATTTTTGAACTCTTACTATGCAAACCATTTTCTTATATCTTGGATAAATGGATGATGAATCATTCATCTGTGTTCCCGTGTTCTTTTCTCTTTATCCTTTTCCTTCCTCTCTTCTATGGTTCCTTTGTAGAGTGGTTGGAAGAGTTGGTACATGAACTCTTGCTTGTCTACTAGCCTTTTTTGTATGCTTGCTGAGGTTACTTGGTGAAAGGCTTTATTCTTATTTTGTTCACAGTGTGTCTTCTCTGGCATGGTTCATGTCCTATCAAGAGACGAGCTTCGTTACCATTGGGCAAAGGCTTCTCAGCAATCCTCTCAGGTAACTGATGTATTCTTTCTGTTAGACCGATCCTAGATATTACTGTAATATGTTGCCTTCCTCCATCATAGTATTCATCATAATGTTGTTTGTGTGGCTATTCCTTAGGGTATTTTCTCTCTCATCTTTGAACCATTATTTATCAGATTCTTCCTATTTCAGACAATTCAAGAGTACATCACTTCAGCCGCTTTTTTCTTGCTCTTACATCTTCGTTGCTTCTATTTGTTTCAGTTATTTTCTTTTGTTTTGGTTTCCGCTATATACAGGGTGAGATTTCATTATGGGCACCCTGATGTGTTTGACCGGGTATTTCACATCACTAGAGGTGGCATTAGTAAAGCATCAAAAACAATAAACCTAAGCGAGGATGTATTTGCTGGTAACTCTGTTCAAATTTCACTGCATTATTTTGATCAGAGTTTCTTCTTCTCTTCTTTTGCCTTTCTCCAGCTAACTATACCCAATTGAATGCAGGATTTAATTCTACTTTACGACGGGGATGCATCACTTATCATGAGTACCTTCAAGTTGGAAAAGGTCGAGATGTGGGCCTGAATCAGATTTCGAAATTCGAAGCCAAAGTAGCAAATGGAAACAGTGAACAAACTCTAAGCCGTGACATTTACCGGCTTGCTCAAGGATTTGATTTCTTCCGAATGCTATCTTGTTACTTCACCACCATTGGATTTTACTTCAGTAGCTTGGTAACACATTTTCCATATCTCTTCTCTTGAATGGTGTTTTGATGAATTTAGTGTCATATCTGTTGAATTTAACAGAATTGACTTCATGTGATCCCTAGGCATGCTATCTGTTCAGGCCTTGTTATACAGTGGCTAACTGTGCATTCCTATGCAAAAACTCTGCAGATTTCAGTGATTGGTGTATATGTATTCCTCTACGGACAGCTATACCTTGTTCTCAGTGGGCTGCAGAAGGCCCTTTTGTTTGAGGCCCGAATGCACGACATCCAGTCGTTGGAGACAGCTCTGGCCTCCCAATCCTTCATCCAGCTCGGACTCCTAACTGGCTTACCAATGGTAATGGAGATTGGTCTTGAGAAAGGATTCCTCACGGCACTAAAAGACTTCGTACTCATGCAACTGCAGCTGGCTGCTGTCTTCTTCACTTTCTCTATGGGCACCAAAATCCACTACTATGGACGAACAATTCTCTATGGAGGTGCCAAGTACAGACCAACAGGGCGTAAAGTGGTTATTTTCCATGCCAGTTTCACCGAGAACTTCAGGTTATAGTCAGTTAGAATGCGTAGAATACCTGTTTTGCATTCAGGTTCTAATATATCTTATGCCTGATGCCTGAAATTTTAGTCATGCTATTAGCTTAAGATGAATTATGATATCTCTTCGCATAAAATGTCGTGAGTTCTCGGTATTGTGTTATACTAACTATGAACTTCAGGTTATATTCAAGAAGCCACTTTGTGAAAGGTTTCGAGCTCGTCCTTCTGCTAGTCGTCTATGATCTGTTCAGGAGGTCGTACCAGAGTACAATGGCATATGTCTTGATCACTTACTCAGTTTGGTTTATGTCGATCACTTGGTTGTTCGCGCCGTTTCTGTTCAACCCATCAGGGTTCACTTGGGAGAAGATAGTGGATGACTGGAAAGACTGGAACAAATGGATCAGGCAACAAGGTGGTATTGGAATTCAACAGGACAAGAGTTGGCAGTCATGGTGGAACGACGAACAAGCCCACCTGCGTCAAGCTGGGGTAGGAGCGAGGCTTGTTGAGATACTGCTATCGATTAGGTTCTTCATGTACCAGTATGGTCTGGTTTATCACCTTGACATCTCTCAAAATAGCAGAAATGTTCTGGTTTATGTGCTTTCATGGGTAGTGATTGGCGTTATGTTTATATTGGTCAAGGTAAGAAAGTTTCTTTCTTTCTTTGGCATATTGTGCTCGTTTCGGACCAGTTTTATACATGTAAACTCGCAGAGGCTAAAGTATGTTTTCTATCTTTCTGATGTGTGTTTTCTGGGGAAATATTGGCAGGGTGTGGACTTGGGGAGGCGAAAGTTGAGTGCTACATACCACTTGGGATTCCGTTTGTTCAAGGCGTTCCTCTTCATTGCGATTGTGGCCAGCATAATAACTCTCTCAATACTGTGTCACCTGTCGTTGAAGGATTTGATCATCTGCTGTCTAGCTTTCATCCCAACCGGATGGGGCCTGTTACTGGTAAGGGTTCTTTTGATTATGAACTGACTTATGGAGTGACTTCTATTTTAGTTATTTCGATATCTACTTCCAACTTCAGTTACAAATTTGTCAAAAGCCATATACTCTGGTCACCAATTTGACAGTCACCATAAAGTTTATTACAGCTCAAATGAACATTGTTTCCCCTCCTCACTTATCTGGGTTTTTTTTACTCTCAACTCTGAGCGGTCAACCATTTGATGTTGGTTGCTGTGTGTGGTTGGTGCTTCCAGATAGCACAAGCAGTGAGGCCCATGATAGAGGAAACAGTGATATGGGAATTCACACAAGTACTGGCGAAGGCATATGATTATGGGATGGGTGTGATTCTGCTGACTCCCATTGCAGTTCTAGCATGGCTTCCAATCATCTCTGCTTTCCAGACCCGGTTCCTTTTCAATGAAGCCTTCAATCGACATCTCCAAATCCAACCCATTCTTGCGGGCAAGAAGAAGCAGAGATGAGAAAGCAGCTCAAGGAAGGAAAGGATCCCATAATTGAATCTAACACTCAAATAAATCAATCTGCTTGGCTTTCTATATATTTCGGTTTTCTGTGCAGCTATAGTTGATTTAGTGATGAAGAGAAGGGTATTTCACTGAATTCCCTTCCATTCACGTTATTGGAGTAAATAGAGAGAAACAGACAGATTTTTAGCAGGGAATATTAGAATATAGCTCACACTAAGTGAAAATAAAGGAAGTTTTAACGTACGGCACTTAACCTTTTGTCTTGCTCAACTTGAAGCAATGTCTTGTATTATAGTTTACACCCTCAAATTGAATCACAGACTATTTTTTTTTTTTATGAAACATAGACTACAATTACTTTATTCTAAACATCAAATTGAATATTTTGATCGCTGACATTAGTTCAACATCATGATTCATGATATAACCAGGACATTAAATTGATTTGGTACATTTTTATTCATAAATCTGTAACTTAATGATGATTATTATTATATAGATTTATCAAATGATTAAGATATAAGTGTATCGTAAATTTTTATGTTTTCTTATTGGTTTGAAGATGAAGATTGGGAACGAACCCTTAAAAACATGAATATATCTCTGGTTTCTCAATCCAACGAAACATGCTGTTTTGCCCATCCATATACCATATTCCATACAAACCCAGGGAAATCGATTAGTCCATCTGAGGGTTTACAACAACAACAAAAGCAAAATCAAGTTCCTTAATTAATTAATCCCGATCAAGCAAGCAAGCACCACTGGGATACTAACAACAACAACAACAAAAAATCCTCAGTTGTTGATTTCTATAAACCACGAGGAACTGGACCTTAGCTAGCTAGGCAGCAAAAGGGACGCGCTTTTGAACTGCCTGTTCCTCTACCATACCAGGCCAACTCGACGCAGGAAATTAAGAGTGAGGTAGCCGATTCTCGACACCGTTTCCCCACAGATAAAATGAACACAAACAACATGCATGCAGATGCAGTACACACATTCATTCATTCATCCATTCAGCTAGGTTGGTAATTAGTTCCACGCATATATGATCGTCAATCCATGAAGCTGTCGGATTGCCAACCCATTCGATCATCAGTATGCTGCATTATCATGAAATGATGCAAGTACGTATTATATATATAGACATTAATTAATGCATGATATATATGACGATGATGCACTAAGAGAGATTAAAGCAACACTACTGTATGTAATTCCATGTACGTACGCTACTGATTAATTATCTGACCTGGTTTTCAGGAGCAGCCAATGGACCATTAGGGAGAAGCAGCTGATCAGCACTAGTAGTATTGGGCAGTTTATGCTTCTCATACCCAACTAGTGCCTGCAGATAGATAGATAGATAGATAGATAGATGACATAGATTTGAGGCATATATGCATAGATAGAGAACACAAGATAGGTAAGTATTTTGGACCTTCTCATACAAGCTTCGTACTGTCGACCACGAGACACCCCTGTAACACAGTAGACAACCCTGATCAGTTTCACGATCGAGAACATAATTAAGGGTTTCACAGGAAGTGCATATCACATATTCACATGTCTTAAAGAGAATGAAGAGCTCTGGAAACAAGCTAGCTAGGGCCTACGAGACAGGAACTGTAATAGCCAGACCTCCATTGATGGAACTTAAATCTAGGGTCTGACAAAATCTCCTAACTAGCTAGCTGGTTAGTCCACTCGCTAAACTGTATGAACTTGTGGATTTGCCAAAATAAAATAAAGACAGAACTATACCAGCCATGCATATCACAAATCCTAGCGTACGCACAGCTTTTACTAGCTAGCCATAAGAGACAATAATATTGCCAAACATTTAAAGCACGGCTAGCTATGTGAGTGAGTATGTCTCGGGCTCAATCTATGTGGAAGAAATTGCGTTCAGTTGATTGAATGGTATGTATATATATGTTGATTATGTAGTTTGATTAACTTTGCATATGAAGTCGTACGAATATAATTAATGTTATAAATATGTTGGTTATTTTGCAAGATTTGTAATAAATTATTCAAATTTGTCAAAAAGTGTTTACCATCTGAGAGACTCGAATAATTAACCCACTTTTACATAAATAAAACAAGAAAATGTGTTAAGAAAACACGAACATACTAAAATTAATTAAGTGGCCAGCGAAATGTTCTCCAAATTAAAGCAAGCCATAGTTATTTTTACAGTTTTCCTACTACAATCTAAAACCTTAATTTCCCAAACCTACAATTTTGCAGAGCCCTAGTTTCCCAAACCGACAATTTTCCGAATCCCCAATTCCCTAACCATGCATTGAAATCGAATCTTGCCTAGGGAGTCGGAGTGACTGACCAACCTGGCGCCACATCTGGCTTGATGTCACCTGCACCAATACCATGCACATTTCAGACCCAAACCAAACCAAAATTAGTCTACCACTTAATCACAAAGCCAGAATTATTGTTATTAGTATTAATTACCAATTGCACAAACCAATTAAAATCGTAAATATATTGTCGCGAGAAATTAAAATGAACCTGTTGATAGCCTCCAAGTCTGGTCACAGCCCTCCATAACCTATCAAATTATTTCAACAATATATATATGTTTAAGTTGTTAGAAAGGGCATTGGTGATGAATTAGTGAATAATTATATATTAATGAATTGATAATAATTACTTGAGGAGATTGAGGTGTTGATCAGCAGCAGGGCGGGAGGTATCAAGCAATGGGAAAATGTTGGTGCCTCTGTAAAAGGACTTGAGATCCTCCATGAACTCCGCCCTCTCCTCCTCCGTCCCGGACTCGTAACCACTGCCGCCGTCATGGTAAAGCTCCGACAGCGATACCAACCCGCAAACAGTACTACTACTATTGGTGCTTTGTGATACTGATTTCTTATTGTCATCATTAATATTCTTAGGGGATTTATGATCAGCAGGGAGATAGTCCTCCGCCGCCGCCTCCTTCTCATCAACCCAAACCCACGTGTAGTCGTCGTCGTCAACGTGAGAAGGTGGAGCCTGCTGCTTGTTCTCGGAAGAGACGGCGGCGGAGGAGGCCATGTTGTTGTCCCGACCAGGAGAATGAATGAGAGAGACAGAGAGAGAGAGAGAGAGAGAGAGAGCGGCGGCGGCAGCGAGTGATGGGATGTATGTACGTGCATATTTATATGACCGCGTCCTTCTAGGTTTTTGTTAAGTTTTGGCAACTACGTACGTAATATATTGCTGTGGGGTCGGAAAAAATTTATCTCTCTTTATTTAGGTTAGAACTTTAGAAGCCACGAAATGTTTTTCTTGCTATCTCATATTTGCTAACATCGCAATCGATTTATCATCATGGATGTTCTATTCACATAATACGTAGTTGTTTGTAAAAAATGGGAATTTTAAGAATTTTAATTTGATTCTTCGTTACTTCCTGCAACAATCTTATTCGTCAATTTCCATGCACAAGAGAAGAAAATGAATTAAGACTAGTTAATTTGATTAGTTACGATTTCCTTAAACAATATCTTATTCGTCAATTTGGCGACATTAGAACATATTAATTAAATGTGCTTGAAATGACATTAGTAAATTTGGAGTATTGTGATTTACAGGCTGAAGTTAATAGAATTGTACGTGAAATCACTGGAGAGAAGGAAGCAGAAGCCGAAAATCTAAAAATACCTTTAAGCGTTTTCCCTAACTGCCTGGTTGGAATTCAAATTTTATTGCTATACATGCTTCCACGTCATCACTTTAACTCTCCTCTCATCTGAATCCCCTTCCGTTGTAACTAATCTACAGGTCTTACCATATATTAAGCCCCTGAGAAATTCTAAGAAACCCGTTCTGCACAAAAACTGTCGCTTCACCCCTGAACTATTTCGCCGCTTTCTGTCCTCCATCTGCCAGAATCCATAATTGTAATCTGCTTCCTGCCACCGCAGCCGCTTGCCCCGTCGCCCGCTCTCAACTTTGCCGCCCGGCTGGTGCTCTTTTGCCAAACTCATCGCCGCTCTGGTCCGCATGACTACCCGCTGGCCGTCTCTCTTTTGGTTGTCATTGCTTACAGGTTTTTGATTGCAATGTCTTTCGTGGGCTTTAATCGGGATTCTCTGTTGCCATTGACTTATTTGTTGTTTTGCTTAAAGGGAATTGGATTATTCATTGCTTTGCTTGGGTTTCGTTGTTGTCATTGGATTATTTATTTGTTTTCGTTCGTGCATCTTTAAAGGGATCTTTGGTGAGAAGGTAAGAAGAACCGTGAGGAAACTCTTTCCACATTTAGCAGCAAAGATGTGTCCTCCTACATTGATTCTGTCGAGAATGAATAGTTTTGAAACTATATTGAATTAATTATCCAGTAGTCCGCGACTCAACCAGATCGACAACCCTAAATTTTTTGTTAGGTTTCTAACAGATTCTACAATCTGCCCTCCTTCTTTGACGGCTAACTCCCACTTCCTCGCCTAACACCGTTAGATCGGTAATGGACAGGGGAAAAACGATCCCTTGCACAGTTGCACTATCCAATCCTCACATCATGCCAAAGTTTGTATCAGCCTTGCTAGAATGGTATTATGTTCATTTTGTGTATGCTTTGTGTTAAATAAATTCACACTAGATGATTCGTTTCATATATCATTGTGCAGATTATTCTAGCGCTACAAGTTTTGACTCCAACTCAAGCATCTTCTTTGTCATCTACTACTGGCAACCCTAAACTGTCATTTACATTAGGTGACGTCAATTTGACAAATACCCTTGATTGTGACTTTGAAGTTGTTCAATAAAATAGTGACTTTAGAATATAAATCGGATGCCATAATTAAATTCATTGTAAATGGAATGTATAACATGAGTAAAACTTATGCACATTTTAATTAAGTTGTTTGGAAAAATGGAAGGTGTTGGTTTGTTGCTCTAATGTACTAATGTTGCTAGATTCTTTTCTAGAGTTGACGGGTTAGAAAATATCACCAAATGCTTTCACCTACAATTGCTTGATTTGTGGCCTTTATATTTTGCATCAAAAGCTAAAGCTTTAATAATGTTGAAAATTTGATAGAAGGAAATAGTCTACCTCTCCATCAAAAAATGTAATATTCTACCTAATTTTTTAACCTTTAAGGCTTTAACACATTGTTTGATGACTTTATCAAAGTGATGATTCAAAGTATAGGCTAATTCTATACTACTACTTACTCCTAAATTGGTCTCTACAACCCATATAGTCAAATATAGTCTTAAACTAAAATAATAAATCAAAGTCAAAATAATTAGTATAGAGCTACCTGCCCAACGGGCAGGGTCGAAAGCTAGTCAACAATTACTCAAAATCCAACACCTATAAGGTAAGGTGCGCTAGAAAGAAGCGCCCTCGCCCTTTGTTCGACTCTATCTGCAATCCATACGATCCCAAAACAAAACATGGTAAACAACGAAACATGTTTCCCGAGGATGAATTTACATCATATTTGCACGCAAACCACAGCGTTGATCTACATATATATACATTCATACAACCATCACTACTGAAACCCAAAATCTCTTCCTTTTTAACATGTAGTATTCTATGTTTGCCTGACCTTCTCTTCCTCCACGTTCTTCTTCTCAACTCCCGCTTGATCAGTAGCAGGCTTCAATGTCTCCCCCTCTTGTACCTTGTAGTCTGCTTCCGAGCTACCCACTTCCCTATTCACCTTCCTTTCTGTGCCTTCACCATTCCCATTCACATGATCACCTGGCTCTTCATTCTTTGCCAAATCCTCACTCTCTCCGGTTTCAACACTCTTCTCCTTCGCCTTCCCATTGTCCGAATCCTCATTGCTCCCATAGCACGACGTGATGGGATTGCCAACAATAACTGGCTGAGCAACAGCAGGTTGAGATTCATCCTCTTCATCTTCGTCCGAAGTGTCCAACTCAGCATCCATTGCTAGCTCCACCCCTAACTCCGCTCCACCATCTCCTCGAGATGCTCTGGATCCTTTTCTAGACAGCACATGCTTCAAGCTCCTAGCCGACTTCTCCATCTGTTTCAAAATGCACTTCGTCTTCTCCCTCTTACCGCCCTTCCTCGGACTACAAGTTGAGTCCGGACTCGAGTTTGGTTGCTTATTAGGTATCTGTCCGGAGAGGCTATCCTCCACAACAAACTTCACCCCACCTTCCTTCTGATTTGCTGCTCGAATGTTGGCGTAAGGAGACTGAACAGCTTCCTCATTATTGTTGCCGCCTAGATGATAACTTTCCACTTTTGGAGTCCCACGTAATGCAGCTGTGATCCTACGTAGACCTCGGCGAACTTTGTTTCCTGGCTTTTTACCGTCGACATCAGCTTCATCGGTGCTACTGCTGTCGATGCACTGTACTCCGGATGAAATACTGCTCCCGAATGAGTCGCCCAAGGATTTGCTGCTCTGAGTGTACTCGACTTTTTTCCGACTTTTTCCTTTTCTTGGCTCCCAAGTCTGTGACACTTCAGAGCCGGGGTGATGGATCCATACCCCGGTCTCTTTTTGTCCCTCCACGTTGATTGGCTCGAAGTTGTCAGATACCTTTTGGGATTCCAACGCCAAAGATGAGAATGAAGATCGATTAGTAGCGTCGTTGGCAAAAGATTCATGTGCTTCTCGCTTGTTCATCGCTTCTTCTCCTTCTATGGAACAGGTGGCATCCTGAAAAGGAATTGCATCAATTGCATGCAACTTGGTTATTAGCTTCCCACAGGAGATTTTATTACCAGAAAAATACCTTCTTTTCCTCTCGCACAGTTAAGGCGAGATGCAGTCGACCCATTTTGATGTCCTGAAGGGGCAACCACATGTCGTGTCTTTCACCATCTCTCATGTCATTAATATTAACGGTGCACTTCCTGCAAACATTAAGCATATAAAAAGATGGTTTAACTGTCAGGTGAAGGACGAGAAGAACTCCAGTTAGTTACTGAGGACGAGAGGCTAACCCGAGGGCATCGTCAATAAAGTGGTCTTTATCACGAACTTCAATTGCTAGAACATTCTGTGACTCCCAAGTAATAATGGGGATTTCAAATTCCTCGAGCCATTTGGGAGCCAGAGTTTTCCTTTGGATCTTTGTCCTGAATCCATAGGGACCAACTTGTCCTTTCACGTACGGATCAGCTAGACCTATAAGGATTTGAATTCAATCAGTGTTCCAGACAAGGGAGAGGTGGTGAATATAGAAAGAACGGAGAGCAATTCTTTTCTAGAACCAACCATTTAAGTCTGATGGTTTCATGTCGGATGCTTCAATAACTTCAACTTTTGTAAAAGCGATAGGCTTCTTCTCATCAACAGAGAACCAAGTTTCTGATCATATGAACAGATCACAAGCATAAGGTCTCACACTTGGCATATATTAATGGCTGTCTTTCACCTAATATGCATCATAAATCTTCTATAATGCCATCATACAAAGATCTGAAGATGCAAGAAAGGGGAACTCAAATCACTATACCTTGACAAGGTGAAACAAATTTCTCCATGTCAGCAACTAGCATATTGGGCTGCAAAAGAAAAGCATTGTTTATCAGGAACAGGACATAATTCCGGATTTCATAGTAAGAGCACATGATATGTTGCAGCCAATCAGATATTAGTTCAATGGACATGATCAGTTCATTATTGTACCTGAACCAGGGTCTGCTCAAATGCCATCGACAGAAGCTTGTCCTTCGTAAAAGAACATATTGACCACATTAGTTTAATATGAAAATCTTCCAAAGAAAGAGGTGGGAAAGGAAAAACCAAATTTTTTCTTTCAAAATGAATATAGATGGACTCACTAGCCACCCTGCAATCCCAGGAAGCACTGTAACATCAACCCCATGGGTAAAGATGGGCTTCACCGTCATTTGGAAATAGGGTGGCTCAGCAAAGCATACTCGTAAACGTCCAATGAAAGGCCAGCGACGTAGAAATTTTATTCCAATCAACACCTACATAAACAAAAACAAAAAAACAGAGTTGAGCAAACCCATCCCGAGGAAAAAAGTACAGGCATGGAAGGAATGTTTTATCAATTATGTTACAACCATTACTATCAATATCCAAAAATTTAGTCGCAATTACCCTGGCCATAGAAATATTGTAAATTAACAGATCGTCCTGCAGCAATCAAAGACAGAAAGGACAAAAGTTCTCTAACAAGAAAAAAAAAACATGAGAATCATCCAGATCTACCATGTAAATTCAACAATAGACTGCAGCCTACATAGGGAAATACCAGTAGCTCATAAATAGAGCTCATTTGGACACACAGATATGATTATGAACAGTGATGTGATTGGATCATACTACTAACAGGTGCAACATGGAAATGATCCACGATCAAGAGTCAGACAATTTCTCTCAAGGCAACATATTAGAACTAACGTCACCTAGCCACTGTTCCTCTAGTCACTCGAGACTCAACACCAACTAGCTGTCCAAGTTTTGTTACCGTAAATGCCACTGCCAGAATTGGCATATTATACTAATATCCACAGAATCCAATAACTTGCGAGTAACTCCAGATTTAGATTTAGCGAAGCCATAGGCCACACATACCTTCCCCTCCACTTGCATGCCGGTTATATGCAATTTTGTCCACATCCCAAATCCCAGCCTTCTCCTTAATTTTACAGCAAGAACTGCAAGCATATCATCAGCTGTACAAAACCTCATTCCCATCTCCAATGCCTGCATAAATTGTCACCTCATGAGCAAACAAATAGATAACGGAGAAAGATATATAGAAAAAATAGGAAGGAAATTCCATATGCTTAAGGACACATACCAAGTGGTCATCACCAGTACATTGGCGAAGAACCCTCACTTCGGTGAACATTGGCGGGTTTCTCCCCATGTATAAATGCTGCACGACGGCCTTTTTCTGTGGATAAGGGCACAAGGCATCTCAATCAGATACAAAAAAGTCTCCTGTTGCTACCAAAAGCAAAATACAAATTGCACAAAGGAAAAGCCTCCACTTGAAAGAAAGCTACAATCTTTTGAAGCAGTAACCATATGCTAAACAGAGGGACAAGGTAAGGTACTAGTCTCGTACAGCAGTCCATGGTTTGTACTTCTCCAAGAACCAAGGAATGATAGGGAGAAGAATCTTCTGTGAAGTGATCTCTTCCATGCATATAGGCCATATCTTCTCCACCGCATGGTTCAGCCACCTCACTGTTTCAGAATCAGATAGCACCTAATGGAAAGACAAAAATGTAACCAGCAAAACAAAAGCAACCGCCATATGAATGTCAGCATCTAGCACGAATCAACTCCAAGACAGGAGAATCACATTGAAAGCAACTGGAAAAAGCAAGTGCACAAAGCATGTAAGTTGACAAATGAAACATCTTGAGTTCCAAAAGGGGTGAAATAACCCCTAAACGTAGACCTAAATCAAATACCATAAAAGCACAAGATTTATAAGAAGCAGCAAGTGGGGAAATTTTACCCTTTTCCGATTAGCTTGTTTCGATTCTTCATACTGCAGATTCGTCCTCAATTTCCTTATATATCTCTCGTGAACCTATCATCGACAGTTGAAAGAACACACCAATTAGAATGAACTGAAGGAATCAAGCAACTTGAAATGACGAGGAGAAAAGGAGCAAATCCCTACCAGAAACAGATAAATCAAAGAAACGAAGTATGCGATCGGGTGAGTCCAACCGAAGCAAGAGAGCGCCCAGAGGAGAAACAGGACGATGCCCACATGGTGCATAATCGACATCTCTGTCAAATCCAGAATCTCCAGCAAAAGCCTTGCCACTTCTCTTCTTCCCACACTTACCCAGTTACCCTTGGTTCGTGCTGAGTGCTAACTCTCTTCAGATGCAAACAGATACTGGAAATAACGCTCGGTCTTCGAAATTAAATCTGAACCCACATCGGAAACCACAAAAGCGAAGCCGAATCCCGAGTGAAATCGCAGCATCTGGAACTCCGTAGGGCTGAGATTTTGATTGGGACCGTTTCTTCTTCCTGTTGAAGCACTAACGGTAGAAACTAAAACTCTTCTGTTTCCCCTATTTCCTGTAAGGAAGTGTATGGAACTAATTAACTGTGATGATGGCGATTGATGAAGGCTTTTTCCCCGGAGAAAACGCGAACGCAACACGTTAAGAAGGAGGGTAAACTAAAAGAGAAAGCTTTTCGGAGGGACAGAAGTCGGAGGTAGCCGACATTGAGCAAGAAGAACGAGGGAAGCAAAGCAGGCAACGACAGAAGGAGACAATTGGGGCGGGTAATGTGCAGGGGAGAAAGCAGAGTATTTTAAGATTTTGATCACATGACCAGCAAGTCGCACGGCAGCTAGTCCTGTTCGCCTATTCTATTTTCTATACTTGCATTTATCCTATTTAGGATTTGCACCCTCTGCTCCTTTCAGGCTTTCACCAACATCAAGTCGGATGAATACTATAATTAATGCTACACTAGAATACAAAAGAAACGAACATGACATGCCCGATTACTTGACTCGACCTTAAAACTTGTTACAACGAGAGAGGTATAATGAGGCTCTCTAGTTCTTATTCATAGACAGATATCAAATCACAGTTATATGAGTTTGTGAGCTATATTTCGATTAATAAATGAGTTGCTTTGTTAATGAATGAACTCTTTTGTTAGATGTTAACAACATCTTCAATCTCCTGACAAATATTTAAATGTATTGAATTTGAAAACTCGAATGATTTGAATGGTCATCTTTGATTGAAACTCGTAATTCATATTGACGCGTTCCTTATCTTTTTGCTACAAAGAAAAACCAAATTTTGAGTGCAAATGAAAAATGACTAAAAAAAGATAGAAAATAGTGGTGAGCTAAATAAAAAGCGAAAATCGATTACAACATGAGAGATTCAGGGGTCCAGATGGAAAATAACGCTTAAAGAAGCAAAAACATGTAGTATAGATCATACTTGGTATTGATAGCTAAACAATCTCCACTTCTTCTACCCGAAGTAAAAAAATGTGTTGACGAGATCATGACTCCAGTGACAAAGTCTTATGTGTTGAATCAATAAGGTTTAGAAACTCCGGTATGGAGCATTTTTTTTCCAAGTGAAATCCCCTAATATATGAAAGAGTGAAAAAGTACTTTCGTTGTTGTGGAATAAGAAGCCTTCGTATCTTAATGCATATATTTAATTTGTTCGGAGCTATTAGAGCGGGATCCACTTTTTGGGGAATATGAGTCGAAGCAATAACAAGAATATTTCTAGTGGAACGTCTTTCACAATCCCTGGAGAGATAGTTCACTAATAGACCGAGGGATAAGTAATTCGACTCATTCACATCCAGATCATGAATGTTTGGAATCCATATTATGCAAGGAGACATTGCTTTTGCTAATTCGAATTGAAAGGTGATATAAAATCGGTCTATTTTCGGTATCATATCCATAGTTAGCGCATTCATCCTTAATGATCATATTATTACTTTGAAACTCATTTTCAATAGTCACTTCCGTTATCCTTACATTTCAAAGGGAAAACATAATTTTGAGATCAAAAGACAATGGTGAAGAAGCCATCGAAATCGAAGTAGACTCAAACATTCTTCAACCTTTCTTGTTAATAAGACTTCAAAGGATGGACATGATGGTGATGTTGGGACGATAATATCACCACGTTTCACATAATACAATTTTTTTTATAATCTCCTAATACAAACTTCAGGGCGAAAAATTACGCCCATAACAAAAAAAAAACCCCAAGTTCCATTGGCAACGAGAGAATAAACAAAACATAATCTAACCAATGCCATGAGAATCCAAACAATGTGAAGCCTTTGTCACACTCGATCTTAGCCAGAAAGTCGAGAAAAGGTATGCTAATGAAGGCTTTGCTGATTAATGATCATGTCACATAATGGAAACCTAATTTTCACTTGCGATCAGTAATTGTTTGTGGCGGAGAGAAGGTCCTTTGCATTTTCACGAGAACTTAAGGGGTCGTTTGCTTCAAGGATTTGGATGTGGGATTTGGTTCTTAAATCCAACACATGAATTTGTCCAAAATCCATTGTTTGTTGAGCCAAAATGGAAATCCGTGGACCCCACGGATTTGTAAATCCCATCTATTTACTTGGGGTTTGAAGAAGGGAACAAATCCTTCATGAAAAAATGACTTATATATCCCTTTATAATTTATTTATTCCAACTTTACCCGTCATTAGTTATTCTTTGCACTACTACGATTGCCTCTTATAGCTACAAACTTAGCCATGAAAAATAATATTATAGCTAATAACATGCTAATGACTACATAATCTATGCCATAAGCTAATAAAATAATAATGACTACATAATTTATTCATCATGGCTATTTGTGATGGTCTTTGTTACACATTATTTTGCCATAAGAGTATGATTATTTTGATTCAAATTTTGATTTGGATGGCAAGTAATACCCTTTAGCTACAAACTACATTTGTTGTTACAGTAGTAATCCTAAGGGTTATAGGTATAAAAAATTTAGCCCTATACAAATTATAACAAACAAATTTAGTCAAGAATTGTAAGATTACAACTATATATTTTGATTATCTACACATTTTAATATCTCATGGCTACTAATTTTACGAGCTTGCTATAAAATGTCAATTTAAAAGCACAAATTAACAATATGACCACACGAATAAAATTAGAAACACACGTAAAGTTAGGGGTCGTTTCCTTGTTGGATTTGGGTCATGGATTTTGTACCCAAATCCCAAGTTTGATGGTTTTAACATAAGTCCATTGTTTGTTGAAGGGTGCTAAATCCGTGGACCCCACGGACTTGTAAATCCCACATATTGATTTGGGATTTGCAAATCCTTGATGATTAGTTATTTATTTAACAAATCCATCATCAAATCTATCATGCAAACATTAGACTCTTCAAATCCATAATCCAATAAATCCAACATAAAACCCAAGGTTTTTATTGGCCAAAACCCTCATTTTTCAAATCCAACAAGCAAACGACCCCTAAATCTAACATGAAGAAGGGTAATAAGGTAATATACATCTTAAAGATATAAATCCATAACCCAAAAATCCATGATCAAATCAACTAAGCAAACAATGGACTCTTCCAAATCCATAAGGGAACAAATCCCTAACAAATCCTTGGGTTTTTAAATTAATCTTTCTAACTTTTCTTTCTCCAATCTACATTAGCATTATGCACAATCGATATCTATTTCTTCCTTTCATTTTTTCGCACAATAAATAGCATCTAAACTAAGGGGAATTTGGTGGTTAGGAATGATATTTCTTTATACAAGACTGTGTGTCGTTTTTTTATATTTTTTGTTTGGATTGTATAACAGAGTGTAATGTGTTCGATCTCGTTTTTAATCAATAAAAAAGTATCTTTTGTCAAAGAAAAAAAAACCTATAAAACATGCATATATAGATAATTGAACTTTGTAATACATATTCATTCATTCATAAATAATAAATATTGATTTATTTATTCGCTTATTACCAAAGATACATGTATAGTGCTATATAGCAAAGCTAAATCATATCGGATCACATGTGCATAGCACAAGTACTGTGGTCTATTAGCATTCTTCTTAGAACTATAATAATAAATTAGTATTAATTCAAACTACAGATAATATTACTAGAATTATAGCTAGCACCGTCGACAAAGCCGCCTGCACCAAAAGAGGAGGGAATCTTAATTAGTTTATAAACGATTATAATTAGTGGAAGTAACAAAAATTTGGTACTAATTCATGAATGAACTTTGTAGAAATTAGAAAATTTTATCATATGAAAAAATAGAGAAAAGGAAATTAAGGAAAGCAGGGCTTACAAGAACACAGCAACCAATCAGTCCAGGCTTCTCGCGGTTGTCATACTTGGCACAGAGGAAAACGCAAGCCCCAGCATACCATGGAATTGCGCCCAATATGAATCCTAATATAAACCTGCTCAAATCATAAATTTTAGAATTGGGTAATATAATGGAGCTCTAATAATACGATATCGAGATGGCGATGGATCGATTTATATCAAACTCAAAATTTGATACATGTTCTGTGTTCAAATCCTAACACCCTCCTAACATACATCAAATTCAATAAAGGGGACTGTTTTTTTTTTTTTTAAAGAGGTATATAGATACGAGTTGATCTCTTAACCAATCGAGTTATTAGTACGAACTGTTTGTTAAGAGTGCGAGAAAGAGTAGATCAGCAGCACTTACAAGAACCAACCGAGGCCAATACCACAGCAAGGGAGGGCAGAGGATCCTCTCTGAACCACAACATGGCCTGTGACAGGAAGCTGCTGCTGGGAAGAAGGATTGTTGGTGGCGGCATATGCCTCAGTCACAATGCTAACTCCTTGGAAACTTTGTTGTTGCTGATCCATTTGCATCCCAAATCCTGCTCTCTTGATCTTGTCCCCGCTCATGATAATGACGATTAGCTGTTAATTTCAAGCTAGCCCAAAATCTGACTGGATTTCAGAAGAAAATACTCTCTCTGTTTTTATGATATGGAGGATTCTTTGATGAAGTGAGTAAAGAAGTTAGGTGATACGGGGGAAATCCTTAGGATCGATATATATACAGGAACACAAATCCTTAGGAAACTAAATCGACCATTGTGGGTGGAGCAAGGAAGAAGAGGTCATTTCCATCCAACAGTAGAGAACAAAACAAGTGTTTTCTTGCGGTCGAATATGCAACTGTAAATTGGCAGTTGTTGCTCAAGGGAGAAGAAAACAAGAACTGCATGTCTTAATTATCATCACCACAATCGCCAACTGTAGCCTTCCAATCCTTCCGTGTGATTGATGCCACCAAGAAATTACATCAACATCAGTAAACTAGATGGGAAACCATGTTGATATGGTCATTGATGAATGGGAAAGGCGGAAAGCAAACATGATGATCGAGTCGAAGTTGGTCACGATTTTTTTTATTTAAGGATATATTTTATTGAACATATAGTAGTTCATCTGTTATGGAATCTTTTAAAATTATCGCCACATGTATAGACTTTTGTTTTAATCACATTTGATTTTTCATTTTTTTCTTACTCTTCACATTTCCTCTTCACTTCTCCTTTTGTAGACCATAAAAAACCAATTGACAAAATTGTAGCAACCCATTCAACTATAAATAGAGCCCGCCTATATATATTAGAGTTGTTATAAGACACCTCTAATATTTTTAAACAAATATTACCAACTCGAGTATGTATTTAGGTTTCAAATTTCAAACATAAAAACTATACATTTAACAATTTACTATTAATCTACATAAAAAAGACTAATGAACAGATCAATGGTGGAATGAGATTGTAGACTTTAGTGGGCTTGAGCAACTTTATTGAGACCGCCAAGACTGTTAATTTTAGTATATGGTGGCGACATGTCATGGTCTCCGAGACCTCCCCATTCCACATTCTCCAATGCGTCTGTTTACTTTGAACAATCTGGAAGTCTAGAAATAAAGTGACCTTCGAATTTATCCAACCTCATGTCTGTTCCCTAGCCAGACAGTTCTACAACTAGGTCCTCGAATTTTTCAATCTTCTCCTTCCTCCTCCGCTCCGCAGCTCTCTTATCCCAAATCATCCTGCCACCACTTGGGTCCCTCCACCAGAAGACTTTTTGAAGATCACCGTCGACCCAACTGTTTGTGCTACCGGTTGTTCGTCTGGGCTTGTTATTCGTGAGTCAGACGGGCATGTGATGTTGGCGCTCGGACTGCAACATCAAGGAATAGTCAATCCTTATCTAGCAGAGCTTCTAGCTTTTAGAGACGCTATCTCCATCATAGCCTCAAGATTAGGGCTGGGAAACGGTGCGGTCTGGTCCAGACCAGACCATATATACGGTCTATGGTCCAGACCGAGAGGCTAAAGTATAGACCACAGACTATACGGTCCGGTCTAGACCACGCCTGTGCGGTCTGGTTCGGTCTGGTCCAGATAGACCACACTCAATGAGAAACGAATAATTTGTTTAGTCAACCACACAAAAAATTGAACTAATAACCAGGAAAAATAATTGTTATTTGCCTTAAATCATTAATCCTAACATGCATGAATAATTTTGATACTCTAAATCTTAGTACACAACAAAGATACTAAGTAAAAGCATCCCAACTTGCACCATAACGTCACAAGCACTAACATAATGTCATATGGAGACACGATTATCTCTACTCTCTGGTTAAATGTGGTTGTGAATGTAGGAGGGACGAGATTCACAAAACTAAGGTTGAGACTTGGGTGTCGTTGTGGGAGTTGGGAGAGTGGTCGAATGGGCTGTTAACACGTATTGACAAGTCAGTTGGGTCCACGGTTTGGTCCGGTAAACTATGGTCTAGACCAGACCAGACCAAGAGATCAAAACATAAAATAACACAGACCATGGACCAGACCATACCATACTTAACGGTCTACGGTCCGGACCAAACTGTGTGGTACGGTTTGGACCACTGTTTTTCTAACGGTCTGGTCTATTTTCCCAGCCCTACTCAAGATCCTTGACCCACGTGATAGTCGAAGGTGATTCCGAAGTGGTGGTCAACCAAATCCGTCAAGGCGTTATTGAAGACTCGATTGGAGGTCCGGTGCTACGAGAGTGTCTTCATATCCTTAGCTCTTTGCCTGTTTGTATAGAGTTTAGGGCGGTACCTAGATCCGCCAACAGTGCTGCCCATAGAGTGGCGTGTAAAGCACTGCTTTTGTCTCGTGTAGAGCTAGAATCTTTTGATTTTTTGGGGTGGCTTCTTTAGATTCTGTTAGGGGTCCTGGGTTGAATTGTAAGTTTGACTATTTTCTTCCATTGATATCACTTAGAAATTAAAAAAAAATCAATGGTGGAATGGAGCGAGACATTCAAACGATCAGTGGGCTATACACAAGGAAGGTTAGTGGGCCGTCGTCTATAACAAAGATCAAGAGACACCACAGCCCAATCAACTGCTTGTGTCTCGGCCTAGTGATCGGTGGGCTTGAAATTAAGTACTGGACCGGTAATGGTACTGTGCCTGCCCGGGCCAGGTGATGAGTTTGGCCGTGCAAGTCATGTGCAAGTTGGACAAGTTGATAGAATTTCCAACATATATAGTAACATTATGTAATGTTAATTAGCTATGTTGCCGGACAATAAGGCTTCTAATTATCAGTTGAAACTCGAATACGATATTAATATATCTTTTATAATAATACCACTTGATCACATGTTCGTACATCTATCGGCTGATATTTTTTAGGTTAAGTAAGCAGCGTTATCAAGATGCACGTACGTTTGCTTCTTCACTACCAAAGCAGCCATTTTCATTTTGGGAATGGTTGTTTTATGGTATTATCGGCTATATATGGAAATTTATATATATAGTAAAATAAACGGAAGAAAGGAGATTGCCAATTTGATGAATATGGGACGGTTTGGAATTAATGAGTGACGTACACGTTGTTGGTTTGGTTTAGGACGATCGATCACCTGTGTACGTATAGACTTGTGTATATATAAGAGATCCTAATGCCACCGGCCGGCCGGCAGCTTGGACCGGATTTAATTTGCATGGAGTCCAAGTCAAACCGATTTGCATCAAATGGATCGGCTGATTCCATCTATATATATACCTTTAATTAGATGAAAATCATAAATAAACATTATATTTTTTATAGGCTAAAATCAATTAACATAAATAATTAACACATGTATATATAGTTGTTTCATATCGATTTCAAGTAAGTACCTAAATAGTAAATATAAATAGTTATATTTTAACATGTAAATGTTCCTACATATAAACTTTTTTGAATAATATAATCAAACTGCGCGCCTTTAGCTATCAGCAGGGTGGCCTTGGGATCCGTAACACCTGATTTTGTCAATAAGAAAGAAAGGTAATTATAAAAAACAACAATGAAATCCTTGTTTTTAACAAATCATGAGGACATAATTAAACTACTAACTACTTAACCACTTAGCAAATGATCAGGTACGTGCCTCCGGAGTAGAGACAGAGAAGAGAAGAGAAGAGGTAGAAATTACAAGGAATGTATAGGTAGGTTAAAAAGTAGAAGCTGTAAAAAATTATTTTCTTCTATTCTAGCTAGGGTTAGCTAGTTGAAACGGCTACGGAGGAAACTCTGCCGGCCGGCCAGCCGGTACTCCTCGCCCTAAAGTCCTGATATGATATGCATGCCACCCCCGCCGGTAGCTGGGCCGGCCTGGTAAGTCTATTTGGCTCTTCCTTGCAACTTGCATATAATTCTAAGTATATGTTTTTGTATGTATCAAATGTTTTGGAACTTCCTAAATGATTACACACATTTTAATTATGTTTGAAGTTTATTTATCAACAAAAAAAAAATAAAAAAATTATGTTTGAAGTTTATGATAAGGTTCTGCGAATTATTACTCCATTTTGAATCGATCTGCAGCTCATTGGGTTGAGTCCATTAATTATCAGAGGCCAAGCATTCATGTTTGCTTTAATTTGGTAAATAACTCTTCATTAATGCTAGATGCATAATAATTAATCGAACCCTCAACAACGTAACTCTTGTTTTTTCAAAGTTTTCTCAATCGAACCCTCAACAACGTAACTCTTGTTTTTTCAAAGTTTTCTCAAAACTTTAACATCCTTCCAACAGGTAGAAATACTTGGCATGTGCAAATATATAATTAAACACAACATTTGAAAGTGTTGGGCATATGGCTCGGGTCCAGGCGCGCCAAGAGGCCAGCGCGATGCCGCGCTTGCAAAGGCATACCCAAAGGCGCGCACACGCGAGAAGGTTAAGCGCCCGGAGGCCTCATGCGCGGACATGGACTCCAAACGACCGAACGGCGGCGTTTTAGCCGAAAGTTGACTATACCTAGTCTGCCTTGAAGAGTGGTCACATTAGTGTCCTAGGTACAATGATGGACAAACCCCCTAGTACTAGGTAGGAGGATGGCTGAAAGTTCTGACAATGATAGCAGTCTTGTCACTGTGTAACTCACCCACCATCATGTAGCCTATAAATACGGCATTTACTTCGGTGGGTGAGGGATGACATTTTTCACTCTCTGACTAGTATTACGAACTACTACTTTCTCTCTCTAAGAATACCTCCTTTCTAGACCTCTTGTTGTTACTCTTCTCACCCTCTTTTCCGAGTTCACCTCCTACCCTCAGTTGGACTCAAACAGAAAGTATGAGAATGCCACCACGACCTTGAGCTTGTAGTTAAGTAGGTTGAGCTAGTTAACTAGCTAGTAAATGGGGTTTGGAGCCAATGAGTTAATGTTAGGGGTGGGCATCGGTGCGGTTTTGACCGCACCACACCGTATTGATATAAACCGCACCGCACCGCATCTTAATCGGACCGCATCGCATGTTCGACCACAAAGTTATTGGTGCGGTCAAACCAAACCGCATAAATTAGCAGTTTGGTACGGTTTATACCGCGCCGCATTTTGACCGCAATTCATTATGATTTGTACATTATTAAATAACATTGACTCTGTTTCTTTCCGCCAAAACAGAGCAATCCTACCGTGTGTAAATGCCAATTTCTATGGATTTCATCACAGAATCCAGGACAAGCTTCGTCTTCCTGCAAATCTCAGCCCACGACCGTGCCTTAACCCCTGAAGAAGCCTGGAAAATTTCTCAACTTCAACCTCCTGTAGAACTTCATTCACAACTTCACGTTCCAATCCAAATCCCGATCCACTTACTTAGCCATCCAAGTGAAGTTGAACTCAGTGGATTGCTCCTTGTAGGGAAGTATGAAGTCCCCTAAACACAGAGACCAATTGGCGCCAACAATCTCCAATTACATGGTGAGATGAGAGAGGAAAGAGCACAGTGGATGATCCCCATAGTGTTGTCTTATTCCTAATGCAGTTGTGCCGAACAGGAGATTATGACTCCAGTAAAGCATTTGGTGAAATCAATCACTTTGAAATGTAAGGGTTTCAAGTGGAATCTACTAGGAACACGAGTTAGCAAGCAGAAAGACGGAGAACTCTGTTGCCTTGCCACCAAAACAGAGCATGCCAAGTTTCTTTGCCCTTTAGCCCATTCGCCATGTTTCTCATTAGCTGGTTGATTGCTTCTGCAGAAATATTTAAATCTAGTCACAGTATTTAAATTTAGTCTAGCTATAATGATCGGGAGTCGAGAACGGGTAGTCGAGAAGGACGAATAAATCTGCAAAGAGAGAAGCATCATGGTGGTCGAGAACGGGTAGTCGAGAGGGACGAATAAGTCGGGAGTCAGATGAAGGCGAGAACGGGTAGTCGAGATGGAGGAATCGGCGCTAGCGCAGCGACGATACTTGCTCTTGTGGTGATGAAGTTGGCGCTGTCGTCGGGAAGAATAGATCGGGCTGTGTGGTGAGAATTGAGAGGCCTCGCTGATTGTAGGTGGGAGACATAGGGATTTAGCGGTTTGCGGTTTTGAACCGCAACCGCGCGGTTTCGATCAATCCGTACCGTAAACCGCGAACCGGTTGAGAATCAGACCGCAAAAACCGCAATTTAAATGGTGCGGATTGGATTGACCGCACAAGCGATTTGGAGCGGGCGGAGCGGTTTGGACCGCACCAATGCCCACCCCTAATTAATGTCAATATATGCCATTGTTTGTATTCTAATAAGGGATATTGGATTTCTGTTAAAGATTTTTACTATTGTTGTGTATTTAAATAGCAGCATTTGAGACTAGTATAACTTTTTTAGTAATGAATGAAAAGATTGACTATTTTAGCCGGCAAGCAAAATATAATTAAACTAGTGATAGAATTTTAGCTACATATAGCCAGAACCCACGTGGTTAGAGCAGAGTGTCCACGTGGATGACATGCAGGAAACCCCTTCCTTCCATATCCAAGTCTGAATTCCTGATCGAGAAGAAAACATTTGAGTAAGTAGTTATCTGCACTGCACTGCAGCATCACCAAACAGGCAACCAAATTAAAGTTCCCCTGCCCTGTCCTGGGAAGCAATTTCCATCTGCACGTAGCTTAGCTTAGCTTAGCTAGATCACTAAATCAAATCACGTACGTACCACCATATATATATACACATACATACATACATACCTTCAGCAGATCGAGAGGGAGAGAGTTTGCCCAGAAACGAAAAACAGTCAGGGAAGAAGAGAGTGCAGAGAGCCAATTTTGATTCGGTTTTGAAGGGGGCCCGGCCCGGTGATAAGTGTTGATAACGCTATACCCGTCCCTAGCTAGCTAACTGATGGCTGACCCGAGTAGTAGCGACTGCGGTGGTGGCGGGAACTTCAGCGGGTTCTACGAGACATGGTTCGAGCAGCTGCAGCAGCTGGTACGGCAGCTCCGGATGTGCCCTAACCCGCCCACCTCCCACGACCACCGCCTCGCCATCTCGCGTCTGGTGCAGAGCATCATGTCCCACTACGCCGACTATTACCAGGTACCCTGCCCTCTGCTTACATATGTAGTCGTCTCGTCTGTCTCGTCGTTGTTGATGATTCCGCTGCGAGTCATGAGTAGCATCATTGTCATTTGTCAGCTAATTAAGATTGGATAGGGCAATTACTTGAGATGGACTGAGATACAAAGTGATTGTCCTGTTTCCCAGATTTAGTGATCAATTCGGTTAAAACTAGTGACCGATTTATTAACCCCAGTTATGTAGTTGCTCTTGTAAATCAATGGCAAGGATCAATATGGATGCTGTTTTTCTCCTGGCCAAAATTATAAATTCTAGGTGAAAATGAGGTATTTTGATTAGCATATGATCATTGAGTTCTGTCTGTAATACCTTTGATCACTCATTTATCTTTCTGTTTTCCCCCATTTTGGGCAACCGACTTGCGGCTGCAATGATCTGTTGTCATCCATCCCCTACTGTACCAGCAGGTATATTATTTATACCTATGTATGCACTTAATTATAAGGAGGAATGAATTGTCCATTAACATCTATGTTGGTTTGGTGAACCTGGCGGAAACCCACAGGTGAAGTCAGCTGCCGCGGAGCGTGACGTGCTGCTGATGTTCATGGCACCGTGGGCCTCTTCCTTGGAGCGATCCCTACACTGGATTGCTGGCTGGAGGCCCACCACTCTCTTCCACCTGGTCTACACCGAGTCGAGCATCCTATTCGAGTCCCACATTGTCGACATCCTCAAGGGCCGCAACACAGGGGACCTCGGCGACCTATCCCCGACCCAGTTCCGACGGGTGAGTGAGCTGCAGTGCGACACGGTGAGGGAGGAGAACGCCATTACCGATGAGCTCTCCGAGTGGCAGGACGGGGCGAGCGATCTGGTGGGCTGCTCCACAGAGGATGTGGAGAGGAAGGTGAGCAAGCTGGTGGGGATTCTGAGGAAGGCGGACCATCTGAGGTTGAAGACGGTCAGGCAGCTGGTGGAGCTGTTGACGCCGCAGCAGGCTGTGGAGTTCTTGATAGCTGCTGCGGAGCTTCAGTTTGGTGTCCGTGGGTGGGGACAAGAGCAGGACAGCCTTCGCCGCTGTTGATACATGGCTTGGCTGCTGCACAATTTTTATTATGAGTAGGTGCAAAACCAAGTTTAGTATATCGTTAGATATGGTATTGGGGAGTGTAGCTAGCAAGGATGAGAAGACAGACGGACATTGACATTTATCAGCTTTTGTTTCTGTGCTTTGCTTCTCTTGTTATATCTAGTTGTGCCGCATTTGTAGGGCGCTGGTGAGGATACTGGTCAAGCTGTATGCTGTTAATAACTTGTTACCATGATTTGAGCCAGCAGCCATGGTGGCCAACTTAGTGTCCCTCGTAATTCAAATAAAACTCGTGGTGTGGGAGAAGGATAAGGCACAATTGAGCTGTTATTTTTGTACCTTAACTTGGAAGCATGACATACGAAACATTGGTGATATGCACATGTAAGCCAAATGAGATGTTCACAGCAACAGAGACGTATATACATAGCGGAAAAGGGATATAAGACGATACAGATTACAACTTGCGAAAGAGTTTGTACGAAGAAGTTGAGACTTGTGATGTGCAGTCCTAGGCAGGGTAATATATAGTTTTCAACAAACCCGGTAGAAGTTCCAAAGTTGCTCCAAGGGAGATGCTGCCACACGTGATACTGAAACACACGAGGAAGAATGTATGCAGCACACAGATGATCACCATACATTGGCACCCTTTGTGGCTCCAAAGACGATTGCAACTGTCGCAACCACAGCCTGTGGACAAGACATCAAACCGAGAGACAAAACAAAACACAGTCAGTGTCATTTACCTTTCCAGGGAGAAGAAACGTGTATAACTCGCATGCTGTACGGGGATGAAAAAACTGATGGCGGGGAACTGTTATCTACTGCGTGAAACGGCCTTATACTCCATGATGAAATGGTAAGCTGACACATAATTAGGGGCTCGTATAGGCTATCGGATTGAAACTCAACCCAGTTGGCCAATCTCTCATCCCATTCCATTCACAACTTTCATTCTTGACCAAAGTTAGCAAAATGCCAACTATTCTCAAAGATCGAGCATACGGCTGATATCTCGATACCAAGCATCTAACAACCTAATGCTAATGTAGTAATGTTAATTTGTTGTGCTTCATAGACTAATCTCTCTTCCAGCAGTCTTCTGCCTGGAGTATTTTCTACAGCCCATCGCAGACCCAGTTTTCTTTTTTCAGTATCAAATTTATAAAGCATAAGAGGTACTACTTACAGCAATTGTACAAGCAACGTATCCAGGTTTCTCCCTGGGATCTATCTGTGCACAGAGTAGAACGAACAACCCAAGGTACCAGGGGATGGCGCCAAGAAAGAAACCAATGATGAACCTTCAAGAACAGGGTAGAAAAGGGGCAGATCAATATAGTGAAGAGAGCAAATGAAGTATTATGAGACTAAAAGTAGATGTCTTGTCGCGTCATGAATATTAGCAGAATTAACAAGAACTAGCGGTTTTACTTGAACCCACTGCACAAGTTGCAGGAATGAGAACTGCCTAACTACGAAATCATTTATGCACTCGGGCTTATCCTGCTCCGAAGAATGCACTTATACATAATTAATAATATGGTACCAGGGAAAAGATCCATCGGACAGATTGTTATAATCCAAACTAACAAGTGTTTGCACCTATAAACCTGAATGAGCGAGCACTTGCAACAGAACTCTATCAACAATACTAGTGAGAACCGACGTCTGAAAAACACAGTACCAAGTGCTGAACAATGAGGCTTCCCTTCTATTGTTTTCTGGGTAGTGAGGTAAATCAGCAATTATCAGGACCTACTAGTCGCAAACATAGAATCTCGGTTGTTTGTTCTAAGAGATTGCATCTTTTTATTCGATCACATCTTAGTCTTCCTCACATGCTTTTCCAACCCTGCATCCACTACTTCTGGTGTTTGCACTCATCTCCAGAGATCAGATCCATCACATAGATCACTATAATCCTTACAATTTCGTTCCAGTATTTATGAAGCTACAAGTTTAGCCACCAAATGCATTGTAGAACTATCTCGTTGCATACACTTATGTCTCATAATCCTAATCCATCAAGTCAAAACATCCCACCAACTTCTAAATCTCTGTGATTTTGTGCAACAAGGCATAATTCAATGAAGTGGAGTTCCCAGAGGTCAAGATGTTCAAAATAGTTGAAAAAGGAAGGCACTTCAGCAGCAAATTTGGTAAAAAACTTACAAGACCCAGCCGAGACCTAGACCGCAGCAAGGAAGTCGCCGCTCCCGCACAGGTCTTCCTTCAGCAACGGCATATCCTGAACCAATGATCAGCCCACTAGCTAGTCAGTAAAGCTCAATGAACCAATTTCAAAGCCACCGAATAGATCGGGACTAAAATTGAGGGGGGGGAAACGAGACATATACCAGGGGCGGTTTGGTAGCCTTGGGTATAGTACTGGGAGGCGGCGCCGGGGGAGGATGAGTGAGCGGCGCCGGGAGGTGGCATCGGCTGAGGGAAGCCGATGACGGGCTGCGGCGGAGGTGGCGGGTAGTTAGCGACGCCTTGAAAGGTACCGTACTGGGGAGGCTGAGAAGGAGGAGGAGGATGGTGCTGGTGACCTACAACGAATCCTCTGTTCTTGGTGTCTTCTCCTCCACTCATCTTGAAATCGGAGCTGGGACTTGGGGGGGAAATCGGAGGCGATCGAGCAGGAACTGCAAAATTTTATGAGATAATCTATTCACCGGAGTGAGTCAACGGATGGTGATTTAGTGATTATATACACGGTGGGTGATGTGAATAGCGCATCCCCGACCCAACGTCAACTGCAAGGAGTTTAATACAATCCATTTGTTCTGATTCATGTTAGTTTAATAAAATAAGTAGAAATGGGAAAATCTATCAACATCATATATATAGATTATTTATAATTTATATTTAAATATAATATTTAACATCAATATCTAAATATTTATTGAATCCAATATATATCATAAAAATTTAAAATTTAAATTCATAAATAATTATTTAATATTTTATTAATTAAATTCATTAAAATGATGACATTTTGCTCAAAGGTCATAAATCAATAATGTTGGTCATACTAGCAGGTTTAGCAAGAGTAATCATCGTGCAATCAATTTATATGTCGGGTTTAACACAACATACGAGGAAGTAAAATCTATAAATACCAAATTAATTGTGCATTTATATATAATCTATTTTTAAGATAATATACCTATAATCCCATCCATATTTAAATATCATATTACATTACAAATAAAATAACAAATCATCATATTTAAATAAAACATTTTACTTCAACCTCCAAACGTTTAAATTTTAAACCTAAATCCAATAAATAACATCCACATTCAAATATTCATATTTGAATCCAATAAATTCATTTATTTTTTTGTTAATTCCACTAGAAACATTTAATTTGGTTTAAATACCATAAATTGACGGTATCGGGCGGACCACTCTATTTGTTTTGATTTCCCCTGATTTTCAATCCAATTCTACGATCAACCGGGCCAGTTTGTTTGAGGTGAAAAGAAATTTGAGGAGATGACGGAAGAAAGCGAAAGGCAGGAAGGGGCCTTATCAAAACAGCAAAATATGACAGGCGGAGAGGCAGCCACATTTCTCATCAAATTCCCCCATACCCAAAAATCCTCCATCTATTCTTCTTCCTCCACTCTTTGCTCCCTTGCTGCTCTCACTTCTCCTGCCCGAGAGATATTCCCTCGGAACTCTCGAACCAGAAGAATAAAGCTCCCCGGTGAGTGCTTGCTTTCATTGATGCTCCCTAATTTCCCTTCAAGCTCTGAAACTGGGCTTGTTTAATTTGTTTGTATTCCACGGAAACCATGGAGCTATAAATAATCTGGTTTTCGAGTTTATAGTAGTGAGGGGTAAGTGGGAGAAAAGGGTGTGGGAAAGTTTGTTCCTTTTTCTTCTTCCATGGGTTCGATGGTGGTGTTAGTTGGAAGCATGCCGTCTTTAGCTTCCTTAGTTAGCCTGGGGAGCCGGGGCATGGCGGCAGGAACCTCCACCGCTCCCGAATCCTCGTCTTACTCCATCGTCCGTAGGGTTTCGATGTCCAAACGCGCGCTTAGGCGAGCCAGGAAGTGGCATTGTACATCAACAAGTTCGTCAATTTGTAGATACTCGGTTACCACCACGGATTTCATTGCCGAGCAGGCCAATGCAGTGTCGTCTGCGGATTCGAGTAGTACATTTAGAGACAATAATAATAGTAGCAGCGATGGCAATGAAGGAGATGGTACTGATGTTGTACTCAAGGCTGCTCCGAGGCCTCTCTTGAGACCTTCTATCAGTTTGAAGAGTCCATCTCGAGAGTCCTCGTTGACTAATAGTAAGGTGGAGAGTGGTGGGGATGATGAGAGGGGAAAGGTGATTCTGTCTCTTGATGAGGTTCTGGAGAAGGCTGAGAAGCTTGAAACTGGTAAACCGAGTCAGCTTGGTAGTCGAAATGGTAGTAATGGGGCTAGTAGTAGTGTGGATAAGACGGAGGTGGCTTCCAATCAGGGAAATCCAGCTGCGGCTACTCGTAAAGCTAAGACCTTGAAGAGTGTATGGAGGAAAGGTGACACAGTGGCGAATGTGCAGAGGGTGGTGAAGGAGGTTCCCAAGAGTGTGAATAACGTTGTTAAAGAAGAACCTCTAACTAGCACTGACGGGGACAAACTGGAATCCCTACCCAAAGCCATGCAACCGCCTCTAAGACAGCAGCCACAGTTGCAGGCTAGGCCTGCTGTGGCTCCTCCTCAACCTGTAGTGAAGAAATCTGTCATTTTGAAGGATGTTGGGGCATCTCGAAAATCATCGTTAGTTCCTGATGAAGTTGATGTAGCTAGTTCTGGCAAGAGTAAAGAACGACAACCAATATTGGTTGACAAATTTGCACGTAAGAAGGCTGCTGTTGATCCTATGGTTTCTCAGGCAGTTTTAGGCCCAACAAAGACAGGGGGGAAGGGACCTGCTATGGGGAAGTTCAGAGAGAAGAGGAAAAATGTTTCAGCTGGGAGCCCAAGGAGGCGGCTGTTGGCTAATGACGATATACCCGATGATGAGGCATCGGAGCTGAATGTCTCGATACCTGGTTCAAGGAAAGGGAGGAAATGGAGTAAAGCGAGTCGGAGGGCAGCTAGACTACAGGCGGCCAAAGATGCTGCTCCTGTGAAAGTAGAGATTTTGGAGGTAGGGGAGAAAGGCATGGAAGTGGAGGAATTGGCCTTCAATTTGGCCATTGGTGAAGGTGATGTTCTCGGTTATCTGTACTCGAAGGGAATTAAACCTGATGGGGTGCAAGTACTGGACAAGGACATGGTGAAGATGATATGTCAAGAGTATGAGGTGGAGGTCGTTGATGCTGATCCAGTTAAATACGAAGAAATGGCAAGAAAGAAGGAAATCTTTGATGAAGATGATTTGGGCAAACTGGAGGAAAGGCCTCCTGTACTAACAATAATGGGTCACGTTGATCATGGGAAAGTAAGTACAATCCGCCCTTTCCTTGGTTTACTGATGAACAGTCTATACTACGAAGCCTTTCCCTTCTGATAGTCCTTTTTCATGAATAAGTGAGTGCTAATTCATGCTTTCTCTTACCTGCGTGACAGACAACGTTGCTGGACTACATTCGTAAAGCTAAGGTATGCTCAGAGAGTTATCATCTCGGTGCTTCAAAATATATGTTCTGTGCTATATCCACATCTGAAATCAGGGTTCTTGTGTTTCATCTATTTACTTTACAATTTTACGGACCTCCTTTCTTCTGGTTATCAAATGTCGCTCTGAGAACTAAATTTAACAGGATGTCATTTTTTTGTCTTCTAAAGCTTAGTTGGTCATTTCCAGCAGGACCTTTTCATAAATTACTAGTGCTTGCTATTTGCAGGTGGCTGCATCAGAGGCTGGTGGGATTACTCAAGGAATCGGAGCATATGAAGTTTTTGTACCTGTGGATGGCAAAATGCAGCCATGTGTCTTCCTCGATACTCCTGGGCATGAGGTAAGCTGAGTTGAAAGAACTTTGTGCTGTAAGTTTGGCACCTTGCTGTTCAGGTTTATAAATGTCTAGTGCATCCCTTATCTACCATGTTAGCTATCTTCTAATTAGCTTGGTTTTTTGGCTGGCTAATTGGTCAACAAAATCATGAAACAAGACCTGCTTGCTTTCTGTTATTCTTCAGATGATATATGTGTTATCTGATCCTGTAGGCATTTGGAGCAATGAGGGCACGTGGGGCACGAGTGACGGATATTGCCGTTATTGTGGTGGCAGCTGATGATGGTATTCGTCCTCAGACAAATGAGGCCATAGCTCACGCCAAAGCTGCTGGTGTACCTATCGTGATTGCTATAAATAAGGTCAACCAATAACTTTGAGAATTTTGTTTCTTAGCTCTTCGAATTTTCTTACCTATACTGGTATGGACTTCTGGGAATTGCTGAATACTGACGTCAATTGTTTTTCAATGCACTAGATAGACAAAGATGGAGCTAATCCAGAAAGAGTGATGCAAGAGCTGTCTTCAATAGGTCTCATGCCAGAGGATTGGGGTGGTGACATCCCAATGGTTCAGGTCTGTCTTTATCACATTTGAGCTCTTAGGTTTACAGCTTTTTCCTATTCTTACATTTTTCTGTGTGCTACTGGCAGATCAGTGCTCTTAAGGGGAAGAATATTGATGAACTGTTGGAAACTGTCATGCTTGTTGCCGAGGTTAGTTAACTTTTATTTGTCTCTCTGCTGTGTCTCTCCGCCTCTCTTGTGAATCTTCATTTTGATTAGTTTTGAATGAATTATATGCCTGCATTCTTGGCCTGGTCAGCAATAGTGTCCTAGAATTTTTAGGAGAGTTAGTTTCCGTCCTGGCCTTCTCAGAAAGAGTGTCTAGATGGAAAATAATTGTTGATAAGTCCATCCATCTGTTTTAAGTTTGACTTCTTGATACTTGTTTCAGCTACAAGAATTGAAGGCAAACCCTCACAGGAACGCAAAGGGTACTGTAATTGAGGCAGGTCTTAACAAAGCTAAAGGACCCATGGCTACATTTATTGTACAGAATGGAACCCTTAAAAAGGGGGATGTTGTGGCTTGTGGAGAAGCATTTGGAAAGGTTGGTTGACCAGCTATTTTCATATTTGGGTGGAGCATAAGATTCTTTTATTCTTTCTAATCCTTTGTGTCCGAATTCCACCCCTCAAATAGTTACCTTGCTCCATGATAGGTGCGGGCTTTATTTAACGATAGTGGAAGTCAAGTTGATGAAGCTGGACCGTCAATACCTGTACAGGTTTGTCTTGTAGATTGTTCAGTGTACATTCTATTCAGGTTCTATCGAGTCTATGTCTGTACAAGAGACAAGAGTGTTGTCACAAAGATTTTGATCTATGGTACTATTTTCAAAGCTGAATAATAGTTGTTGAATTTGTTAACAGAATTTGTTGAATTTGTTAACAAAATCATATAAGTGCGGGAGTTATGTTATAAATTTGTTTGCTAGCCTCAGTTGAAAATAACAATTTATTTATTGAAAATTTAAATTTCCATTTTACAATTATTTCGTTTTAAATTCAGTATCATATGTGCTCAAGTTATACTATATACTAGTGCTAATTGATGCTTATGGATAATCTTCTTCCCTATGCGCAGGTCATTGGACTAAATAATGTACCACAAGCAGGTGACGAATTCGAAGTTGTTGGCTCCCTTGATGTTGCCCGTGAAAAGGCAGAAGCGCGTGCTGTCTCATTACGAGATGAGCGCATATCAGCAAAGGCTGGGGATGTGAAAGTGACACTGTCTTCCTTAGCCTCGGCTGTTTCTTCTGGAAAGCTATCCGGTTTGGACTTGCATCAGTTGAACATAATACTGAAAGTTGACCTTCAGGTACATTTGACATTTATTAATTGCATATCAACCCTCCTGATACAGAAGTATTCTTGTGATCTATCTACATCTCTTTTATTGTGTCAGGGATCTATTGAGGCTGTCAGGCAAGCATTACAGATACTCCCTCAAGACAATGTGTCCTTGAAGTTCCTCTTGCAAGCAACAGGAGATATAACCACCAGTGATGTTGATCTTGCTGCTGCTAGTGAATCTATAATTTTTGGATTTAATGTGAAAGTACCAGGTTCAGTTAAAAAGTACGCCGAGAACAAAGGTGTGGAGGTTCGGCTATATAGAGTCATCTATGAACTTATAGATGATGTTCGCAACGCAATGGAAGGGCTTTTGGATTCTGTTGAGGTGCCTGCTTTTCTCTCTCTTTGATTTTCCTTGACAAAATCTTAAAAATTACTGGTTTCCTTGCAAGTGAAAGGAATTTATATTGTATTGCAATCATAACTTTCTAAAAGTTGAATCTTACTTTCCGGTAATAGGAACGGGAAATGATTGGGTCAGCAGATGTACGAGCTGTGTTCAGCAGCGGCAGTGGTCGTGTTGCTGGGTGCATGGTGACTGAAGGGAAGCTAGAGAAAGGATGTGGCATTAAGGTGGTACGGAACAAGAAAACTGTACATGTCGGTGTTCTTGATTCATTGAGAAGAGTTAAAGAAATTGTGAAGGAGGTAGGGGTTGCCACGATACGTACTTAATTCGTCTTATCATTACTAGCTTCTCTCAGCTTGAACATCTCTCCCCCTTTTTCTACCCGTATGAATGGATCCCTTTTTGCTTGAGTATGACTTGGTTCGTTTTCTCGAACAGGTGAGTGCTGGCCTAGAATGTGGTATTGGGTTGGAAGATTACGATCATTTTGAGGAAGGAGATATATTGGAAGCTTTCCACAAGGTCGAGAAGCGACGAACTCTAGAAGAGGCATCGGCTTCAATGGCTGAAGCTGTGCAAGGAATGAACTGACCTGACTGTATAGATCATCATCACAGGTGGAGAAAAGCATTTTGGGAATTCGACGACAATCCAACTCGAAGGGTATGTGTCATAAATGGACTATGTGTGGTGACCAAAATCTGCAGACTGTAAAACGAATTCAACAACTGGGTCAGGCAGGCTGCTGCATTCGTGAGCATTGTGAAAGTCTGCAGACTCGAATCGAGAATGAGGAAGGTGGGGATGGATGCAATGTAGGAGGGCAGTGAGTTTTAGGTTGTGCATTGCTTGATCCAGTTGGTGTATATAGTAATGGTGGTGGGTGATTGTTGTATATCTTCTTCTTCATATCTCAGTGGATCTTTCTGCAGAAGAAAGGGAAGTAACTAATTTAAAGGCTTATCAATCAACCATTCTCAGCCATTTTCATTTCTTTCATCCATATTTCAGTTTTTTCCTTGATCTAGCTCATCGTAAAATGTCAAAAGAGTGCAATTCCATATAAATAACCTTTTTATAGCATATTTAAAGCAAAATACAACATATATTAGCACTAATCATAGTTTACATGCATAAAATTCTGAACCCATATAACTAACTTACATGCTAGGTGATACATCATTTTGTGTATATTGTTCAATGCATCTCGTTGGTGAGAAAATGAATGATTAGACATATAGAGTTGACCCAACCACATACAAACAGAAATAATTAATGTTCCACTATATGCATGTATTTGATGGAATCCACAATAATGTGTATTTAAATTGTTATAATAAAATAAAAATGTATTGAATTGAAATCATGGTATTGCAGGGCAACCACCAGACTTGTACCAGAACGAGGTCCCCAATCATATGCTTTCATCACATGGTTTTGTTTTCTCTCCCTCCAATTGGTTTAGTCTCTTTGCATTATGTTCTAATCTTTCCAATTGTTTAGAAGATCAATCACGCACCCTCCAATGGACCGTTGAAGCATCTGTTACACAATCGAGAAGAATAGAACAACCACTGGAAAAAGAGGTTCTGGGTCTCTAGTTAGGGAGGATGAGTACAGTACTACTGAATGGCAGCGGCGAATCCAGAATAGGTTAGAGTACTGGGCCGCATTTAAAAAGCGGTTGAGAGAGTTGGGTCATAATCCTATAAATATTGAAAGATATACCCAAAATCGAAAATTTACAAGTACTATACGAGCTTTGAATTTGGAGAGAGGGCTGAGCCGTGGCCTGGGGCGATCCCCTAGATCCCCCGTTACTGAATAGTATGCTCCGAAGGCTTTATTTTAACTTAATGGCATTTGTGTAGTCAGCAAGATATTATAGAGTGGTCCGATCCAAAGACAAAAGTAAAATGGAGGAATCCGTTTCTGATGGTTGGTCTTCTCATTCTTGTTTTGTTTTTGGGGGGATTGGATGAATTTTTTAAAATTTCACAGGGAATGGTGAGTTTTAGTTTAGAAGATTTTTTTATTTCAATGAAACTTTATAATTTTAGTCTTTTACGTTTTAGACTTTTATTACATCTTTTAATCATTCAACTGTTCATAGTGTTCTATATATAGTTTGAAACTGTGTTGTCGCGTCTTATATTACATCTTGTTTTGAACATCTAGCCTACTTTCGAGTGAGTTCCATAGAACTCACATCACTTAACCTCCCTCCCTCCACCAATGTACACTGTAATATTAGTGTTGGTACTATCGCCTTAGTTCAGATAGTTCAGAATCCTTTTGATTAACCCACTTGCTATATGTAATTATTTTGTGTAGATGATATATTGATACATAATTAAGTTACGTCACATGTAATCATATATGATATGCTCATATACTCATTCAATTCGGGTTTTATCCTACACAAACTAGTGAGATTCAGATTTCAGACACCTCAAAGAGACTAGGAAAAAAAGAAACAGTTGGCTGTGTTGACTAAGGTCTAAGTGTATGAAAACAGCCGATAATAGCAATGAGCTATCACTATGAACACCCCATCTCGCTCTCATGCAAGTTGAAGATAAAAAAAAAAAAAAAACCCCAGTTTAATAAACAAAGGAAAACAAAACTGTAATGCTAACAGCTCCCACATTAGAATCAATTATTAGATTTGTGTATTATTAGATGAGCATTACCGCCCGACATTGCATTCAAGTCACGAACCCACTAATAATTTGACCCCCACATAAATACAAATCATTATTATTTATATAATAATGTGGATTCCAGATCACTCCAAAACACACGAAAACATGGGAAGTGACTGCTTTGCATGAAACAAGATTTTGTTAGGGCTGTTTGATCATACCCATCAGACGTGAAGTAGACTACGTAATTTTCAAGATTTTGTCTGCTTATTTACATGAGATTGTAAGAATTCATTCGATATCAGTAATTAACTCTATGAGTATTCGATTCGAGGGGTGTGAGAATTCCGATATTAATTAATTATCTTATATATTTTGAATTACTTATCAAAACATAATTGACCAAAGCACTTCTACTATGCTATATAGTATTGGTGTTTTAATGTACAATTTGAAGTTGTACTATAACATTAAATGTATACGTTTAGGTTGTACCATAAAGAAATTTGTATCATTATGTTATGGTACAACTTTACAACTTGAAGTTGTATCATCACATAAGGTACAAATTTAAATTGTACCATAAAAAACTTGTACAAAAAGTATAGGTACAATCTGAAATTGTACCATAACGTTAAAGTACAATTTTAAATTACATCATAAAGGAAAAAAACTGTACTACCAAGTAAATTTCCTCAATTGACCAATTGCGTGCTTCCCTAAACGATGCATGGTTATGAGTGAAAGTAATTGTTGGCGGCTGCCGTCCAAATTCAATTACAAAGTTCATTGTTGGTTTGCTTAGCTTTGTGTTAATGTCAGCGTCATTAAATTCCCACGCAGCTTTTCTGACAATCGTCTAACCAACTCTCCTTGGATTCTTCTCCTCTTCTTTTCTTGGCCGATCTGATCCCAATTAATTACCTTCCTCTCTCATTTGATACTTTAATCATATCCTAATTATTGCTAATCTTGATTCGTTAATCAAACCCATTATTGAAAATCAAAACAAAACAAGAAAAAAGAAAGACTCTGTCGTCTGTGCCTCCCTGCCACCACCTTGATTAATAAATTCCATCCAAAAGTTTCGGTTCGGTCAACCAACCAGCCGGGCATTTAATGGGTCAAATAACATCAGGGGTCACTCAACTTTGGAGGTCGCTAACTTTACTTTCTTAAACAATTTGGCCATTAGAGTTTGGAATGAGTAATGTAAGTGCAATGACGTTAATCTCACTTGGACTTTCTATCCGGAGTATCACGGTTGATGGGTTGGTTTTTTTGGGTAGTGAGGGGGTTGGATGATAGCATAGAAGCCATGTTGTGTGATGTGGCACATTTGGTTGGTATTATCGTGGAGTAGACAATTTCAACAGAAAATTTGATAGAATTGAGGAGGTCATTAGGTTTTGTCATGAACTTAGATGTTATCATTTGTTATGTTTTAAAGGTTGGTGATGATATACTCTCACTCTAGCTATACTACCCCAAATAGGTGCGAAGCAGGCGAGACAATTTGATTTAGGACAACTCGTTTTGATAAATAAAGATGAATAATATGACCATGTTAATCCATGGATACTCTCTCACTCAATACTATCTAGAAAAATGTCAGGTAACTCAGATTTAGCAAGCTTGAATATACAATCAATTCACAATAGATATTACACGGGTGTCAAGTTGAGAATAAGGTAGAGTTAGTGAGAGTAAAATCATTCATCGTAGCAGCAATAAGTAGGGATGGCAACAAAACCCGAACCCACGAGGACCCACTCGACCCAACCCGGTCAACGCGGGTAAAATTCGTGTTGACGGGTTTTGGGCCGGGTTCGGGTTTAAATCCGCTACACTATTCACCGGGTCGGGTTGGGTTTGGGTTTAGGTAAACCCGACCCATGGGTACCCGCCCACACACATATAATTATTTTCCCGATATATTTAATATTCTAAATAATATATTTTCCTTAAACAATTAATAGTCTTTATGTTTGTGGAGACATGTATAATTTGTTATTTCTAATTGTTTAGAATGAAGTTGATATTATGAAGTGGAGAGTGAAGAAACTTAGTTGACGAGGAAGAAACTTTCAATTAATCTTTTGTTTATAGATGTTTATCTTTAATTTTGAACAATTTGTATTGATCATTTGCGGTTTGCCTGTATGCTCTAGATTGGTGTTTTTTTGTATGATTAATTTGTATGAGAAAATTGATGTTAAACTTTTATTTTGAAAGAAACTTGTTATTGTAAATTTTTTACCACAAAAACCCACGGGTACCCATGAACCCGTGGATACCCGGCGGGTTAGGTTGGGTTTGAGTTTTTCAAACCCAACGGGTTTTACCCCGGGTTTTTTTTATGGATAAACCCATGGGTTTGGGTTTGGATTTAACAAAACCCGCTCCAACCCAACCCATTGCCATCCCTAGCAATAAGGGGTTGTGGTCTATTTCATTATCCGGCCAGTTGATTGAATTTACACGACAATATGACCAAGTTAGATAGAATATTAAGGATAGTGGCCAATATGTGCATACATCTTTGGTTTTAGTGTCTGTATGTAGTTTGACCCTTAATTATTATTTCTCCAATCCAGTCAGTCCCCACCTTCCTTCCTCTTTTTATAACACCAAAAGGCAAAAACACCTCCACTTCTTCTTCTTCCCATTCTTTTCCTCCAATATTCAGCCATGGACGAAGCTCAAGATAATTACTACTACGACCAGAACAACAACAGCAACAACAATGGCAATACTTCCTCCCCCTGCGACACCGATCTCGATTTCAGCTTCAACTCCACCGTCACCGACCGCACCTTCGCTTCCTCCAGCGCCCGCTCCAGTCTCGCTCGCTCCAGCTTGACCCTCAGCTTCAACGACCGCCTCTCCACCACCTCCTCCTCCGTCACCGCCTCCGCCACTCTTTCTTCCTACAACTCCTTCGACTCGCTGCACCACCGCAGATCCGACCCTCACTGGTCCGCAATCAGGACCGCCACGAACCTCTCCTCCGACGGGCGCCTCCACCTCAGCCACCTCAAGCTGCTCCGCCTCCTCGGCGCCGGAAATTTGGGCCGCGTCTTCCTCTGCAAAATTAGGGACTGCAGCGACTCTGCCTCCAGCCAATTCGCCCTCAAAGTTGTGGATCGAGATACCCTCAGCAAGAAGAAGCTCTCTCACGTGCAGATGGAGGCCAGGATCCTCTCCCTGCTAGACCACCCTTTCTTGCCTACGCTCTACGCGCGAATCGACGTCTCGCACTACACTTGCCTCCTGATCGATTACTGCTCCAACGGCGACCTCCACTCTCTCCTCCGGAAGCAGCCGGGGAACCGGTTCCCACTCGCCGCGGTGAAGTTCTTCGCCGCCGAGGTGCTGGTGGCGCTCGAGTACCTCCACGCTCTGGGGATTGTTTACAGAGACCTCAAGCCGGAGAACATTTTGCTGAGGGAGGACGGCCACGTCATGCTCTCGGATTTCGATTTGTGCTTCGAGGCCGATGTGGACCCCACCTTTCGCTGCGATCGCGTGGGGCCCACGCGGCGGCGGCGGAGGAGTAGGAGGAGAATGGTGGTGGCGGCGGAGTTCGTCGCGGAGCCGAATGCCGCTTTCTCGAGCTCGTGCGTTGGGACCCACGAGTACCTGTCGCCGGAGCTTCTCTCCGGGAGCGGCCACGGGAACGGCGTCGACTGGTGGGCGTTCGGGGTGTTGATCTACGAGCTGATGTACGGGACGACGCCGTTCAAAGGTGGAAGCAAAGAGAGCACGCTCCGCAACATCGCGTCGAGCAAGCAGGTCGCGTTTCCTCCGCCTTCGGCGGGAGGGATGGAAGAGGCGGAGGATTTGATTCGGAAGCTTCTCGTGAAAGATCCGCGGAGACGGCTCGGGTGCAGCAAAGGCGCGACGGACGTGAAACGGCACCGTTTCTTCGAGGGGATCAAGTGGCCGTTGATAAGGCACTACTCCCCGCCGGAGCTTCGCGGGCTGGCGGTGAAGAGAGCCACTAGCAACGGAGGACGTGGCGGTCACGTGATGACGGTGGCGCCAAAGATTCGGCGGAGTTGGTGCGTGAAGGGGCTGGTAGACTATATGTTTAGGAGAAGGAAGAAGAGATATTCCCGGTCCCGGCTGAATTCTTCTTCTGCTTATCATCATCAGGCCACCACAAATTGCAATTACTATCAGTATAAAGTTAGGGTGGCTTGATTCATTGGAAACAGACTTGGATTCCTTTTTGGGGTTTTTCCCTTTTTAGCCTCAACTGAGTGCATGGCGTACGTGTGTTAAGAATCGTCAGACGATTATGTAAATTATCGACAACGATAAGACATGTTTTAGGGATAGTGTGTTCCATTTTTCACTCAGTAGTAAAGAGTGTAAGCTTCCATAGTGTAGCCTTGCTCTTTGCTTGCTTAGCTTTTTTTTGTTGTTGTTAAACTGATATTGAAATCCTCTGAAGTAATATATAAAAAAGAAAGATTTTACAAAAAAGTAACTAGAATATGTTCTCTATAGTGTTTTTTTTTTCCAAGGCAAGCCCAAAGGGCATGGGAGAAAGACTCGACACAATTACAATATAGACTCAAACCCATTGCGTTAGTCTGTTTGCGCATAGTTATTGTCGGAAGTTTTGTATGATTGTTGTGAATGATAACATTAATACATTATGTACAATTTTTTTATGAGATTTTTTAACGAGTTTTGTTCTACAGTGTGCCGAGAGAAGATAAATTTGGAGGAGGTGAGGCCGATGGGCTAGGCCTGTAGCTGGATCTCGCCAGGGCACGAATAGGAAAATCGAATGAGTAAGGCCCAGTTAAGGGTCGTGGGCGGGTGGGAATATAAAGGCGGGCCAAAATTTCTGGAGGAAGAAGATAAAGGAAAGAAGCGGGTACGGAGCGGAACTGTAGACTACATGCAATTCTAGAAGACCACTCAACTGCCTCATTTGTCGTCGCCGACCATTTCTGTTGCAACCGTCACTTGTGCAATACTGGTATCACACTATCACCGCCATCTCCAATCACTACTGTTGAGCTTTTCAGCCTTTCGTCGTTGTGCTCATATGCTTTTTTCTTCTTCGGTAGGCTGAGTGAAAAAAATTTAAGCTATGGAATAACAATGCGTGAGGATGCGATCATAACCACAGACTATATTTCGTTGAACGAATTGAGCATAGAAATTGCAAGGAAAGTAAAGAGAAAGCTGAAGCAATAAAGGAATTTTTCTGTGTTTTTGAGAATTATGATTACAACTGTCATTAAAGTTTAAAGTTGTGGTTATAAAAGTGCATTTTGCCTGACTATTTCTTTCCCTTCCTTTTCTCATCCCCTTACCGCAACCGCAAGGTTCCTCTTTTTTGGTACTCCAAGAGTCCTAAAATCTATACTTCTTGGGGTTCTATCATAAAAAAAAGTTGAAAAAAATTCAGAAGAAATCCGAAAACGGAACAATATCAGAAAATGATGACACAAAACAAGCACAATCAATGCTACTTTCTCTTGTAGAGGGAATTGATAACCGAAATTTTCCTTGTTAGAACAAAACAAGCAGTCATCATAAATTATTATCTTCAAGTTATTATTATGTTTAGAACAAAAACAGTTGGGGTTGGTTATCAGCCTCAAGAATTTGTTATCAGATTTGTTGACGGGACACGAAGCAAGGCAGTCGTCAGTTCACTTAGAACTGATAAGAAACAAAGTGCTTAGCAACATTCAGACGCACCTCCCATTCCTCTTGACTCTGGATTCCTTCATAGGACATTAAGAATGGTTTCACTTTCTCCAACATATCCCGCAAGGGCATTGGTGGTTTCTGGTCAATGTCTGGGTTCAGATCAAATTCTCCCATGAGGTATTCTTCCTCAAGCTCAATCTGCAATTCAAAGAAGAACAACTCTCGCATCAACAAACTATTTCACAGTAGCATCTCTCCAAGAACACATCAAAGCAATAGTATATGATAAATGATTTACTAACACGAATAACCATTGCATACTAGTTTCTCATCAGTATAAGAAACCTCGTTTGAACCTCGCCCTTAACTTTACTCTTGAAGAACAATTTAAAGAGTCTCTATAAGCACAATCAACTCATTACTGAAGTTGGTGTCTAGTGCATCCAAGAATTCATCCTCGAGAGGTGATGGCAAAACTCTGCCACTCATCTCTTCGAACCCATTAAGAAGGTGGTTCATGAACTCAACACCAACAGTTTGTGCCAGTCTCTCACCGTCAGCTTTGTTTCCAGGAAGAAAGTCCTCGCCTTCAGAATCGTCAGCAGCAGCAGCAAGTTGATCTCTCTGCGGTCCCCTTCCACCGCCGTAATATCCCCTCCCTCTCCCCATTCCCCTTCCTTGACCTCTTCCCATATAGCACCACGGCCACGCCCCATCTGCATTTCACCGTCACCCCTTCTCCTCCCTTCACTTCGCTCAGCTCCACCTCGCCGCGCTATCTCATCCTGGCTAAATCTCGGCCTTCTCTGACTCTGCTCGCCAGCTCCAGCTCTATCGTCAACATCACCATCAGCCGTTCTCGGGCTCACCCTGGCACTACGAATATGCCTGTTCACTTCCTTCTCCGGTATTCCTTGCGCCACCACCGGTGCATCAGATTTCCCGCGGCCGAAACTCGGACGACCTCAAACTGGAGGGCAGATAACTCTACTTCGCCGGAGGAACAGAGCCTCTCCCTGGCGCCCCAGGTGCAGGCTTTTCCAATCGCGGTCCCTCCGCAGCGACGCCCATCCCGCTCCCGCGTCCGACAGCCGTCTGTTTTAGGGAAGAGATGAAGGAAGAGAACTCCGGGAAAACCGGTCCGGATGCGAGAGGCTTGCCGCGGCAGTAACCTAGTCCTCCCAGGTGCCGGCTGAGACTTCTTCTCCTCTTCTGCGTTGCGTGTCTCGTCGGTGAATGCGAATTGGCCGGGAGTGAAGATCCGACCACGACCGCGCCACGTTCTCCGCCGGAGGAAGTGGAGAATGGGGTGAAGAAGGCAGAAGAGCTTTTGGGAGCATGATTTCCGATGAAATTGGTAGGGATTGAAAATCCTCTTCCTCTCATTGCTTGCCTGCAAGGTTCCTTCGCGATAACCGTCGCCGATCTTCGGCGCCTGAAATTGGGGGTTTAGTGTCACTTTCGCTTCGTTCTCTCACCTTTCTATTTCAAAACGGTACCCATATTTAGAATAGATCACTATCTGGCCCTTCCTTTAATGGACCTGGACTTAGAAATGGGCCTTTTCTATTTTGCTTGCTTGATGAAATGGGCCATTTCGTTCATTTAACCCAAATTTAGAGCAATCCCCACCGTTTTACAATTCTTAACGCAATTGGCTAATCTATCCCGCTATTTCTCTTCCTTCCCCACACCGGCGCCATATCCTGTCAGACACGCAAGTAACTGAGACAGGCGCATCAAAATAAAAAACAAAAACAAAAACAAAAAAGCTTTCCACCCGTGATCCCACCAACTGCTTCCATTCCCAAATGTTCCACTCTCGTGAGCACCGTCCTCTCCACTAACCCTACACCCACCACTACTGCCAATTGAATTCCCTCCATCTTCCCCTGTCGCTGCAAAATTCCAAAAACCCCTTCCTTTCCCCTTACCGTGCTATAAATTTGAAATGCCGATCCATTCCCTATTCAGAAAACCCCCCAAATCCCCCCTCACCAGCTCCTCTTTCCTTCTCATTTCCATGGCCTCTCTCATTACCCTGCTCCTCGTCTCTTTCCTTCTCTTCCTCTCCTTCCCTTCTTCCTCCTCCTCTGTTTCCCAGCCCCGACCCCTTCGAATTTTCCGATCGCCGAAACCCAGATCCAAAAAAGCCCCGATTCGCTCCTCGTCGGTGGGACCGATCCCGGCTCAGATCGCTCAAGCCTGCAATGCTACCAGGTTTCCCGACGTCTGCCAGTCTTCTCTGTCCAACCCTGCCGCGGCTCTCCCAAAATCCCCAACTCCGATTGACCTGATTCAGTCAGCGATTTCACTCTCCTATGCGAATCTCTCGGTCGCGCAGTCGATGGTGAAATCGATTCTGGGCTCCTCCTCTAACATCAACCGCACCACCGCCGCGAAAAACTGCATCGAGGTCCTCGCAAACTCGAAGCACCGCATTCAGTCTACCTCGGCCGGAGAAGCCCTCCGCGGCGGCGGTGGCGGCAGCGGAGGAGGAATTAAGGACGCGCGGGCATGGATGAGCGCGGCACTGCTCTACCAGTACGACTGCCGGAACTCGCTCATGTACGCAAACGACACGTCGTTGACGGCTCAAACGATGTCGTTTCTCGACTCTTTAATGATGCTCACCAGCAATGCTCTGAGTATGCTTGTTGCCTACGACGTTCGCGGCAATGAGACCGGGTCGTGGGGCCCGCCCAAGACGGAGCGGGACGGCTTCTGGGAGAAGTCGGGCGGGGAAACGGGGCTGGGTTCGGGTGGTTTTCCGTCGGGGTTGAAGCCTGACGCGACGGTTTGCAAGAGCGGCGGGTGTGGTTACGAGACGGTGCAGGGGGCAGTGGATTCTGCGCCGTCCAATCTGCCGACCGGCGGACGGAAGTTTGTTATCCGGATAAAGGAAGGGGTTTACGAGGAGATCGTTAGGGTTCCGTTGGAGAAGAGGGATTTGGTGTTCCTGGGAGATGGGATGGGTCGAACCGTTATCACCGGGTCGTTGGCCGTCGGCCAACCCGGGATTTCCACTTACAACACGGCCACTGTCGGTAATGTATTTCTTTTTTGGTCTTCCCCGTCATTTATATATTTCTTTTTGTTGTGTTGTTTTGTTTTACCCGCCGTTTATGTATGTTTCTTAGTCTAAAAAAAAGAATGAAATGATTAGTAGTTTAGTACCAACTTTGTAAAAGTTAAAGTTTAGGTCCCAATCCTACAGCAAATGTGCTAAATGTCAACTCCTTTGCAGCGGTTCTTGGAGATGGATTCATGGCGAGCGGGCTGACGATCCAGAACACAGCCGGAGCTCCGACCCACCAAGCAGTGGCGCTGAGAGTTGACAGCGATCTGTCACTGATCGAGAACTGTGAGCTCCTCGGCAACCAAGACACTCTCTACGCGCATTCCCTCCGCCAGTACTACAAGTCTTGCCGGATTCAGGGCAATGTGGATTTCATCTTCGGCAACTCTGCCGCCATTTTTGACAACTGCACCATTCTGGTGGCTCCGAGGCTGGTGAAGCCGGAGAAAGGCGAGAACAACGCAGTGACTGCACAGGGCAGGACGGATCCTGCACAGTCTACTGGGTTCGTGTTCCATGATTGTCTGATTAATGGCACGGAGGAATATATGAAGATGTACCGTAGTAATCCTAAGGTGCACAAGAACTATCTGGGCAGGCCCTGGAAGGAGTTCTCGAGGTACAGGATCATGAAAATCAATTAAGTCCCCCTAATCTAAAACTTTGGGATTACCAGCAATTTGGTCTTTGTTTTGTTAACAAACTTGTCACTATTGGATTTGAAATAGCTTACGTACTAGCCAGTTGCTTTGTTCATCTCTTGAATCCTGATGCAATTTTCCAATGTTGCAGGACCGTGTTCATACGATGCAACATGGAAGCACTTGTGACAGGGCAGGGGTGGATGCCATGGACAGGGGATTTCGCGCTGGCAACGCTGTACTATGGCGAGTTTGAGAGCTCCGGGGATGGGGCGAATCCGTCTGAGAGGGTCAAGTGGAGCAGTCAGGTGCCGGCGGAGCATGTAGAGGCCTACTCTGTTCAGAACTTCATTCAAGGAAATGAATGGATTCCCAACACGTCCTCTTGATCAATTCCTGTGTATTCTTCTTTGCAATTGCAGTTAATTAGGTAGAGCAGTGAAGTTGTAGATGATGCAGATGCCAGCATGTAGTGCAGGTTTTCCAAATGTAGAAACCAGTACGGTTGTATATATGTAATCCATAATCAGAATTTGCCGCACGCAAAGTGAAAGAGCCATTAACACGAGCAATTACTACTACCGTGACAAGCACATTTCAACCCATATATATTTTTAACTTCTTGGTCTGTAACTTATTCGTACATTACAGATATATGATATATGCTGATGACAACGTATACATATGATTCCAAGTTCTAAAAAGCAGCAATCTCTAGCCCTCCTTTGGCAGCAGCAGCTGAGCAACTGAGAACAGGGGCGTCAAACCTGCTGAACAGCTTGTAAGACGAGACAAGCGAGATACTGATAAAGAAGAGAACAACTATGAATGTCAGAACCAAGGAAGCCGTGGCCTTGTGGCAGAACCCACCAAACGAGCCGCAAGCTGCGCTCCATGTGATGTCTAGGTCTCCCTTGTAAGCAAGGTAAAGCACCTCGGCAGAGACAGAGGCAGCCGCGAGGATCAAGTAAGTGAACACTTGGTCCAGGAAGAAGAAGGTCCAGGCGGATCCGGCCGTGGTGGCTGGGCTACGCGGCATTGCCACGACAACGGCGGAGAGCAGGGCGTAGCCTGCACATATGCCGTTGGCGTGTACCAAGTACCTGCATGTATATAAATGTAATGTACCACATTGTAAAAGAAACAGAACTTCATTCACGGTACTGTTTTCAAACAGCCCACATGTTTGAGCGCTCGTTTGAATGGTGGATTGTCTAGAGGATAGATTAAGAAGGGACTTTAGAAGTCCTTGAAAGTTCATCTAAAGCTACCCATGTTTAGCTTGTTCGTCGCAAAATTCGAACCTATAACGTTATGAATTTGATTCCACAGCATTACAACTAGATCAAAAGCAAACTACCCGTGATGCTAATGGACAGGAAATTAAAGGAACTGACCTCTCACTTCCAACCGTGAATGCCCCCATCCATTATTGACTCACTCTGCCACCTATTTTGACCCTTTCTAGCTCATCCAGCCCAGCCATCTCAATTCTAGCTCATCATCACTACTGGGCCAACATGCATTGAATGGCAACTATACAGAAATGGGGTTCAATCAAAGGAAAGCAATAAAAGAAGAGGCAATTTTCCATGTCGACGGCCAAAAAGGACATCATTTCAACATTTACCGTCTGGCCCTAGATAAACAAAATGTAAAGACAAAAGGGGACCTGAAGGCAGCGAGATCAGAGTATGAGAGGGAGCCGAAATCATTGGTCTGGGAGTTTTTGAGCATCACGACCAGAGCTGACACGCACAATCCGACCGGCACCAGTCGGAGTATGCTCTCCGCCGTCCGCATGCTGCCGGCGGCCTGATCCTGCAGCTCTTCCCGGTTGGCGGCGGCGGAAGAGGAGTTCATGCCCATCATCGTTCCACTTACTTTGCTCTTCTCCATTGTTTGGTTTGCACTCTGAAGTACTCTTTCTCTACTAACTTCGGAGGCCAGGCTCTCTCTCTCTCTCCCTCTGTCTCTCAAAGTGTTTGAAGTTGTTGGGAGTGAACAGGGAGACACAGGTGATCGAGGACAAGGGGGAAGTGAAAATGAAACCCTGATCTTATATTACGGGGAAAGAGTGATGATAAGAAAGAAACAAATGGGGCAGTTGTAATGTTATAAATGGGTTGAGGGGAAAGGGGGAGCTTTAAATTTGAGATGATGATGGGTTGGCGAGGGTGCATTAAATGGATTTTGCTAAGGTATGTGTTTGTTTGCCTCTTTTTGAATTTCTACTAGTTTAAATCGGTGTTTGTGATATCGTACTATATTAATAGTAGAGCTTGTGATATCGTAATATGGTGGTTGTTGCACTTGAGCAATATAACTTGTGATATGCTCAGATACATTGTATACGTTCGAACTAGCTGTTATCCCATGAATACTTAGCTAGTTCATGGAAACTAGTGATTCAAGCTTAAAAGTTGTGACGTTGGGTACCAAATGATTTTTCTTAAAGATGGCCCGTTGTTAAAATTGAACATTATCACACATTTTACTAGTTAATTCACACAATTTACCACTTATGGTCCACTTTGAATCATCTTAAACTTATATTGTACTAATACATACTTCATTCAGGAGAGAAGAATTTGTCATTCAAAAAGATTCCAACATAAATCGCACATCTCCCACGTAGTGTGTGAGAGAGAACGTAAATATGTATCGTTTGTCAATCTACTTAAAAAAAGTGTGATTGCTTTTTCGAAAGCAAGTTCTTACAAACACAAGAGAAACAAACACAGATTGTGCATATCAGTAATTGGCAAGGAATGGATAGATCCATCAGTGATGGATGAGCATGAGGGGGAAATGAAATGAAATGGAATGAATGGTTTGCTGGTCCATAAATGAAGTGGGGGGAAAGGTCACGCATACCAACATGCATGGGTAATGGGCCTTCCTTCCTTTATTTACTCCCTTCATTTATAAAGCTCTATCTATTTATTTATTTATTTATTTATTTATTTTTGTTTGTAATAATAATGTAACACATGCTGTACTGCTGGGGTGGGCAAATGGTTCGGTAAACACGAACCGAACCGAAACCGAATTAATGCTATTCGGTTCGGAATTCGAAAGGAAAATATGGATAGTTCAAACATCAGGGCTCTTTCAACCGAACTGAATTTCCGAATTTCCGACCGAAAAATCGAAATAATATAATTGCAAGCTCCAAACGATGGATTTGTATGTTTGTAGTTGTTTTTAGACTTAAATATTTGAAATGTTTTAAGACTTATGTGTTGAAAAGTTTGATTTTATCATTGATGATTAGGGATGGCAAATTACCCACCCATAGGTAATTATACCCAAACCCAAATAGACCCATTGATAATGGGTTGGGTATGGGTGAAGTGCATATGGATTTGGGGGTTTATAGATGGGTTTGGGTTTGGGGCTTCCATAATCTAAATGGGTATGGGTTGGATGTGGATATCCATTTACTTGAGGGTGTTTTAACTACACATGCAAAAATTGGACCTATTTGCAAAACTTGAAAAGTTTAGGTACCAAAATGTAAGACCAAAAAAATTTAGGTACCAAAACGTAATTTTCCATCGATATTTTGTGGACTTATATGCAAAAAAAAATTAAATTTAGGTACTAAATATGCATGTCTATTAAGTTTGGGTACCAAACTGTAATTTGTATTTGGGCATGGGTACAAACCCAAATCCATTTGATATAAACCCAATTCAACCCAAAGTAAATGGGTATGGGTACAAACCCATCAAACTCTACCCATATCCATCTATTTGGATTTCATACCCAACCCAATTGGATTGGATAGTAAGAAACCCATGGGTATGGGCAAAGTTGTCATCCCTATTGATGATGCATATAATTGATATTTATTGTTTATATTAGGGATAAAAATAATTTAAAAGTGAGAAAATAGAAGTAGCTTCACAAATTCGATTTTGTGTGAAAAACCGAACCAAACCAAATTATAATTCGGTTCGAATTCGGTTTGGGAGAATTCGGGGACCCGGTATTCATAATTTCGGTTCGGGACCGAATACCCGGGGTACCACGCGTAAGCTTAACATATGATATGGCTAGCAAGTGGGCACGTAATTGGGCCATCGCTTGGTTGGATGGGGATAGGACCCAACCCCACGGTCAAACAATATCCAAGCAAAACCAAAGTTGGGTGTTGGGCCCATACCCACTACTACCTGTGCTTTGCAAAGAACTATATTCTTTCTTTTTTTTTACTTGTTTTTTTCTTTTTACCAATTGTCACACCTATCGATTAGGGGTATCGATATCAATTGTAACAACGAAATGTTGACTTTAAATTTCTCTTAATTTAACTTTCTTTCGGCTTATAGTTGTAGATCTTACACATGTTTGGCGCATGTATAATTTAGCTTTTCTTTTGCATTTAATTGTGGATTACTCATTATTAAAAAAAATTGTGGATTATTAGTTAGAAACATGACCAATATTTTATGGGTTGTTAGGGCATGCATAGGGTGTGTAATTAGTAGGAGAGGGGTTTAGTTATACGTTTAGTTAAGAGTGACAGTGGCAGATTAAGTTACCAGCTTTTAGATAATTACTTCGATCACCATTAACACATCTTGAAAGGATCGTGAATAAGCTAGTATGTAACCCATATTCAATACAACACGTACAAATCCGACCTAAGCCGCCAAATCCCGAAACCGCTTTATCACATCAACCTTACTAGATAGACCATCCATCATCATATTCATTTATGCCAAATTGTTCCCATACATCAGTTGTACTTGTACCTTATTCTCCCCACCAAGTTCCTCTAGCCATAACGGAAAGCAAATCACATTGCAAATTTGTTTTTACCACCCCCCAACTAGGGAAAGTGAAAAACAGAATCACTTACCCTTTCTTCTACTCGTAACCGTACATCTTCTTGAGCACCAGGATGAGGTCAACATAGACCTTCTCCGGGTCAACCAAGGATTTGGAGACGCTCTCCCTCTCCAAGCACCTCTTCACCCATTCAATTAGTTTGGGGCACTCTGCCTGGATGCTGAAGTTGCCGATTGTTTCGAAGGAGTAAAACCATGTGTAGAAAGGCACCAACGCCACATCCACGTACCCAATGGTTTCCCCTCCAAAGAATGGCTTCTCTCCTAGCTCCCCTTCCAGTAGCTTCAAGCTCTCAATGAGTTCTTTCTTGCCTGCTTCTTGGACTTCCCCTGCTTTGTTCGCCCATATCTTCTTCCCCTGGTCGTATATCTATAGCACAAGGTTCGTAACAAAATGATCATCAAGCATAATCTGGGAAGGATATAAGTTGTGTAAACAAATTGGTCACTCTTTAAGTTTCGCCAAATAGAAATGCTTACTAGGCTCCTCGTATCTCAATTTCCATGCCCCGCCCCATGCTACTACGCCCCGTAGCATGGGGCGGGGCATGAAAATTGAGATACCCGCCTCATTGCCATCACTACCCCTATGTGTCCATTTGACCCAAACCCTTTTCGCCAATCCAGCCCTCAACTCCCCCATGTCGCGTGCAAATGCAGGCATGAACCCAAGATCTACTCAAACCGGAGATAGACAGGGGTTGGTGAAGGTACTCATTGGACGATTTTGGTAACACAATCAGTTTATTTCAACCTTGTGAGAAAACATTTCGTCCCTGTTGCCCAACATGAACATCCATGAGTTTATGGGTTATGCACAATCCGTTGTGTTTCAATCACCAAAAGGAAGTGATAAAGCTATAGATCTAGGAGCGGACCACAAAACAGCTACTCTAAATCACAGCCTTTACTTTCCCCCCTCTAATAAAAAATGGTCCATATGAATGTGATCATAAATGCAAACCCTAGTGCACCACGTTCAAGTCTTTCCAACAATCCATCAACTTCCCAGAATCTATGTTGTCGTACTAGTGAAAACAGAGTAAAAGAACAGACTGGTGGGAAAAAGGGTATACCTTCTTATCGACAAAATCAGCCCAGAACCTGGCCTGAGATCTGCCGTAAGGATCGGCCGGCAGCAGCGGAGCTGTGTCGCTCCAGGCATCCTCGATATACTGAACGATGACGAGGGATTCAGAGATGGGTTTGCCGTTGTGGATCAGGACTGGGATCTTCTTGTGAACTGGGTTAGTCTCCAGAAGCAGGGGGGTCTTCTTCCCAGTCAGTAAATGCTCTTCCTTGTACTCATACTTCACCCCTTTCTCCGCCAGAGCTATTCTTGCCCTCATCCCAAATGGGGAACCCCAGAAATCCAGAAGAACCACTTCCGCCATTTGTTCACTCTGCTCAAATTTGGTGCCTTGGTGTTTTGGAGTTTGATTTGATGGTGGCGGAGTTGCTGTGTATGGATTTATAGCAAAAATGGGAATGCCTTTCCCTTTTCAGCTGGAGTTATTAATAATGGGGCTTATTACGCAATGGTCACTGAACTTTGGATAGAGGCATATATGCTCTCATCCCCATCTAGAATCAAAATGAATTGTTATAAGTATCGAAAATCAAGAAATTAGTTAGGATCACAAATCCAAACAAGGGTATTTTAGCTATGTTTCTATTCAATTTGGTTCTTGTACTCTTTGTATTAAAAAAAATTCAAAGATAATTTGAAACAAAAGAGTTGTGAAATGGTAGTTATTTCAAAATTTTCCTAACAAATTCAATTACAGATGAAGGGTTTAGTGACCAATTCGTTGATAGTGTAAAGTTCAGTGACCATCTTAAAAATAGCCGTTAATGATTGGTAAGTGGTAACCAAATGGCAGATGGACACGTGAGAAAATCCCAAAATATATTGTACAACGTGCAAGATCTGTCCTTTTATATTATCCTATCACTTGTTTTTTGTTTTCAATAGATAATATCGTCGACATGATTTAAAGAGTTCAAATTGTGATTTGCCTCCTTGGCGATGATTTAATTATAGGAAAGACTACTTCCTGTCTGATCTTTTCACATTTAAGAAAAAAAGATTAATGATTACCATCAAATGAATATTACTGTATATTTTAACAAAGAAAAAGCAAAGTTTAGTACCTAAACAAGGTTGGCTCCACTTTCTCTTCTCTTAGATTTCATTAAACAAGGTCCCTTTCCTTTGACGGTACAATTTAATTCTACCTCCAACCCTCATTTGTTAAAACTTAAAATAATAGGATTTTAAGAATTCGTGTAATGTTGAACTTTAAATTAGCAATTGCAACGGTGTATTATTGATATTAACAGGGTATATAATATATACCAAAGATATTACAGTGTACAAGTGAGATTGAAATACTAAAGACAACTATACAAGAGGAATACAAATACGATCAGGACAAAGACTTGTCCCTTATACGCCCTCGCAAGATGGAGGCGGCGTCAGCCAGACCAATCTTGCAGTTAAGAAGACGAAAAATGAGTGACATGCAGCGGTTTAGTGAGCACATCCGCAAGCTGAACAACAGTGGGAATATGGCGTACCACCAGCTGTTTTGCCTCGACTAGCTGACGAACAAAGTGATAGTCAAGGGCCAAATGCTTCATGCGAGAATGAAAGACAGGATTGGAGCAGAAATGAACCGCACCAAGATTATCACAGAAGAGAGTTGGAGGCGCTGGAAGCGAGTAACACAGCTTAGTTAACAGGTTGCAGACCCATTGAACCTCAGCGGTAGCAAGAGCAAGCGCATGATACTCTGCTTCAGTGCTGGAGCGAGCAACAGTCCGTTTGCGTCTTCGACTTCCAGGAAATCAACATGTCGCCAAGATAAATGAGAAATCCAGAGGTAGACGTCCTGTCATCAGTATCACCAACCCAGTCCGAATCCGACAACACACGTAGTGTAAGAGGGGTAGACTGGCGCCGAATATGAAGACCAAGAGAGCGAGTGCCGGCAATGTATCGCAGCAAACGCTTAACATGTTGCTAATGCACAGACGTCGGAGCATGCATGTATTGAGACAACTTGTTAACCGCAAACGCAATGTGTCAGGACGAGTAGTAACCAAATACTGAAGAGCACCAAGAAACTGGCGATATAACGTGGCATCAGTAGGAGGTGGGGCATCGACACGCTGAAACTGAGCAGTGGATATTAGTGGGGTCGATGCTGGCTTCGCCTTATGCATTTGGAAACGAGTTAAGATGTCTGATACATACTTGTGTTGAGATAAGAGAAAGCCAGAGGAGGTAGGGATAACCTCAATACCAAGGAAATAATGAACCTGTCCCAGGTGCTTCAGAGAAAACTGATCGGATAGCCGAGCTTGAAACGAGTGAAGGAACTCGGCATTGTTCTCAGTGAGTAATAGGTCACCAACATACATGAGAAAATAAGCCAACACATCGTTCCGGGAGTAGACAAAGAGAAACGCATTAGAGAAGGTCTTCGTGAAGCCACTAGAGACAAGAAAGGTTTGATAAAATACTTGTTCATGTATTATTAGTGGCCTAGCTAGTCGGAACCAAATGAGAGGACTAAAAATCTAAACTCTTGAGGTTTCAATTGTGAAAATTTGAAGGAGCTAAAGTCTTGTCAATGGCTCTATTTTTCAAAATTTATTAAAATTTTATCTTTTTATAATGGTGATATTATTATTAATAAGACTAGAAAGGAAAAGAAAGAGCTAAGAGAACATACAACAGCACAAGAGGTGCAAAACCTACAAAAAACAAGCTACAAAGGGGGAGGGGAAGCTAAACGAAGAACAAGCAGAAACTGATATCCGAAGGGAAAAGGGTTAATTGTATTGTTGGTCACTGAAATTACAAAAAACGTTCATGTTTGGTCACTCGAAATATTTAAATCCATCCATGGTCACTACATTTAGTAAAACAATCCAAATTTGGTCACTCTCCGTCCAACTCCGTTAACTTTGACCAATGTGGCAGTCAACTCTCATAGTTGACCGTTAAATCTGTGACGTGGCAATTAAAAATTAATAAAAATTTAATTTTAAATATTCCACCTCATTATCACTACTATTAAAAATTAAAAAATTATTAATATTACTTTTAAATACCTAATGAACTAATCTCACCCCTCTTTCTCACCGTCGACTGAAAGAGGGAGAGCTCCGTCGTGTTTATCGGAATCGGCCCACCAGCCCGACGCCAGGGAGGCGGAGGGAGTGGACGGAGGACTGATTCGCGTCGCACTCGATTCCGACCCAGCTGCAAACCGAGGAATTGTTGGTGCTCCATTGGAGACGATTCTCGTGTGGGACCTGTGAGAGGAAAGAGAGGAGAGCTTGCTTCTCCTCCTCCTGCTGCTCCGCCGTCACACTCATCACCAACATCTAATTTCACCCATGCCAGGAGATTCGAAGTCGGAGCCCTGGAAGAAGAAGAAGCGGGGTACAGAGGAAGATGTCCTACAGGCGTTGTACGTGTCTCGGAATTGGGGATGTGAAATTGCGTCGTTCCATGTCTTGGAGACGCACTTGAAGCGGAGGAGGGATTTGGCGGGGCGGGCGAAGAGGATGGTGAAGACGGATTTGTCGGCGGAGAGGCGACGGCGGCGCGATTGCAGGAGAGGAGGAGCCATATTTTTGCTGTCTTTTGCCCTTGGTGAGTGGGTTGATTCTCAGGGTAAAAAAGAAAGAATCACTCTTTGTCCCATTGATATATAAAAGGGTTTTGTAATGTTTTCCTTGCCGCCGACGGAGAACGGAGGTGAATCGGAATGGCAAGTATTGCTTTGCTTGCTGCTGCTGTTTGGGGTAGTAATATTATGAATCGTTTAAGGTATTTAAAATTAATTTTTAATTGTCACATCACAGACTTAACGGTCAACTATGAGAGTTGACTGTCACGTTAGCTAAAGTTAACGGAGTTGGACGGAGAGTGGCCAAATTTGGAATGTTTTACTAAATGTAGTGATCATGAATGGATTTAAATATTTCGAGTGATCAAACATGAACGTTTTTTGTAATCTCAGTAACCAACAATGCAATTAACCCGAAGGGAAAACAACAAAGACCAAGAACACCCGCACAAGCAAGGAGACGAATGAAGATCCAGCCACAACCTGGCCAAACAGCCTGGCGAATCCAAACGCAAAAACAACCAACTCAATGCAAAAACCAGAAGCCCACGCAGTATATCATATCATAACATTACCTAGAGTATGCAAATGCAATACATCATATTCAAAACAATATGATACAAAAATGGTGTGGTTTTGGAAATTATGCTTTCTAGAAGGACCTAATTCCCAGGATCATTTAGCTGGAGTGTTCTGTATGTAGGAGTCTGCGCAATGGATTTTTAACATAACAACACTACTACAGCACTCAACAGCAGTAGATTGATGAATGACACATTTAAGTGCCCCTCCTAAAGACACACCAACCCTACAATCTCAAAGGCACATAACATAAAAAAACTCAAGAACACAGACTAACTAGCTCCCTACATGTCGACACAGACTCCTCAGTGTACTACTCAATCCCAAGCCTCTTTCTGAGCTGCAGAACGTACTGGTAGACCTTCTCGGGGCTGGGTAGAGCTTTCGACACGCTGTCGTGCTGCATGCACCTCTCGGCCCATGCCACCAGCTTGGGGCAGTGGGATTCAAAGCTGAAGTTGCCACTCACTTCATAGGCATGGAACCATGAGTAGATTGGCACCATTGTCACATCCACATAGCCCATCTTCTCTCCTCCGAAATACAGCTTGCCATCAAGCTCTGCTTCCAGTGTTTTCAGGTGCCCTATGAACTCCTCCATCAAGGATTTCTGCTCTTCCCCTTTCGTCGCCCATACCTTCCGCCCTGCATCGAAGACCTGCAAAGTTGTTCTCTTTTTCATTGACTACTTGAGTTCAGAGTTCTAATCAGATAAAACATTCATCTCCGGCTCTTTAACTTCAAGTTCCAACCTTTACCTTTGAACAATCCACAAACAAACCCTCAACCCATAAACCCAGAAAGAATTATCCTACAAGGATACCGAATCGAAAGGGAGACAGAGCAAACAAAAACGGATGAACGAACCTTCCTATCGACGAAATCAGCCCAGAACCTAGCTTGACCCCTGAGGTAAGGATCCGAGGGCAACAATGGGGACTTATCGGGCCAAACCTCGTCCAGGTACTGAACGATGTTGTTAGACTCACAGACGGGCTTCCCGTTGTGAATCAGAACCGGGATCGTCTTGTGAATCGGGTTCATCTTCAACAGCAGATCGCTCTTGTTCCCCAAATCTTCTTCCCTGTGCTCGTGCTTGATCCCCTTTTCGGCTAGAGCGATCCTGGCACGCATCCCGAACGGGCTCACCCATGTGTCCAGCAGAATCACCTCCTCCGCCATTGATGCTCTCTGTTGTGGAGCTCCCTCCTTCGGGCTTGGCTTGTTCCCTGTAGAGCTCTGTTCAGTCGGTGGAGTGTGTGATAAACACAGAGTTCGGTGTGACTTCACATAGTTATATCGACATAGAGATTGAGGCGAAGATTCTCGTTTAAAGTAATCAATTTGCTGTAGATAACGACATGTCACATCCACTTCAAACATTGTACCTAGCTCTGGTTCAAAGTCAAACCCTCCTCAAATTCCTATAGAAGAAAGATTGCTTGCCAACAGTCAGATTGGCTAACAAGTCTCACCCACGTGGTGCAACGGTGCTCCCGTAATGGATTCAAATTCCAAACCTTCTAGCAGTTTTATTTTCACCTAAGACTAAGAGAAACAAACAACTACACTGAAGCATCACACATGACATTACTCAACCACAGTAAGGCAAATTTAAGTGCCCACTCCTAGACTGGAGGCACACCACATCAAGGTGCCTTCCTTTATTTGCCTCAACTCACAAACACTCAACTTAAGAACACAGACCTAAGTAGCTCCATACGGAATTAGACAAACCCTAGGACAAGAATCTATCAAAAGATTCTTCAGTTACTCAATTCCAAGCCTCTTCTTCAGCTGCAGGATGAACTCATAGACCTTCTTGGGGTCTGGAAGGGTTTTGGACACGCTCTCGTGCTGCATGCACCTCTTGGCCCATGCCATCAGCTTGGGGCAGTTTGATTCAATGCTGAAGTTGCCACTGACTTCATAGGCATGGAACCATGAGTAGAATGGTATCATTGTCACATCCACATAGCCAAGCTTCTCCCCTCCGAAATACGGCTTGTCTCCCAGCTCTGCTTCCAGTGTTTTCAGGTACCCTATGAACTCCTCTGTGGCTGACTTCTGCTCGTCCCCTTTTGTTGTCCAGATCTTCCTCCCTGTATCGTAGATCTGCAGATTAAACAATTAAGACAAGCATGTTTTGGTTATTCTGTTCTTCTTTGATTGCTGAATTCAAAGTTCCAGTAATCAGACAAAAGTATATCCTTATGCTATTAGAAGACAACTCTAGTTTTCCAACTCCAGACCACGTTTGAGCTTGAACCACAACAACACCTGTACAACAGAAAAGAAAGACCTCTTTCCACAAACGTTACTTTGCTAAGACAACTTAAAGGGACTTGTTAGTCACTGATCGAGTAGGTCATTTCGCTTATCAAATTGAGCATTTGAACCCAAATCCCCAAATTATGTCTACATGCAACTTTCATTGATCACTAAACTCTGATATCCAAGCTCATATCTTCCTACAACTACCTTCATCTCCATGAATTCAAGCTCCAACCTTTACCTTTGAACAGTCATAAACAAACAAGCAAACCCTCAATCATAACCGCAGTAAGAATCACCCTACAGCAAGGAAAACAAAACAATACAAAGAGACATCAAAACGTTAAAAAAAAAGAAGTCGAACCTTCTTATCGACGAAATCAGCCCAGAACCTAGCCTGAGCTCTGGGGTAAGGTTCAGAAGGCAGCAATGGAGCCTTGTCGTGCCAAACCTCATCAACATACTGAACGATGATGCCAGACTCGCGGACGGGCTTCCCGTTGTGAATCAGAACCGGGATCTTCTTGTGAATTGGGTTCATCTTCAGCAGCAGATCGCTCTTGTTAGTCAAATCTTCTTCCTTGTACTCGAACTTGATCCCCTTCTCGCGTAGAGCGATCCTGACCCGCATCCCAAACGGGCTCACCCATGTGTCCAGCAGAATCAACTCGTTGGCCATTGATGCTCTCTCCAACGGTGCTCTGAGTTTGGAGCTTTCTCGGGTCTGTTTGCTTTTGGTTTATACGAAGGATTTGATCACTAGTACAGATGGCGCGGCGTAGGGTAGCGGTGGGGTTTCCCGTTTTTATAGGCAGGGGGCCACGGCCCACGGGACAAAGTACGCCATAGCGTTATTATTATTCCAAAATATATTCCTCCAAGATTTTGTTCCGGAAATGTCTCGAATTAAATGTTGACTAATTCTAACTATTCTCAGTCCTAGCTAGAAGAGTGTGGAACTAACTTTTGGTGAGATTTGACTAGACAGTGTTTGTTAAATCGTGCTATACAAAAAAAAAAAAAAAAAAGAGCTACTTATCTATGACAACAACAAAAAACCTACTGAAATTCAAGAATGTATAGATTTTTTTATATAAAATATTCAATCATAAGTAAATCATCATTAGCTTATTCGCTACTACCTTGGTAGCAGTTTGCAATCTTATCTGAATAATCAAATCAGATTTGTCGTTGGAATCAAGTCTCTTGACATCTCTAGAGACAAAACACTTAATTCACTTATATGTAAATTTGAGCTTATTCACGTCTTGTTTGTGTTATTCACGTGAGATCGTTGATTATTCATATAACTAGGTCTTGTAACCTGGTGTTTATTCATGCTTATTATTATTCATTCACGTGGTTAAAAAATCAAATTTTAAACTTTGAAATATATCAAAATTGATGTTATTGTGTAGATTGTGAAATATTTTTAGAGATTTATTGAGAATTCAAATTTAATTCTATTAAATATAGCCAATACAAATTATTAGAGGAAAAAATCTGAATTTTTATTTATATGAACAACTTACACGGTACGTGAATAAGTATAGTATTACGTGAATAAATCTAAAACGAACCGTTAAAAAATATGTGGAAAAAAAATGGTTTTAGATGTTATGGTTTAGAGGTGCCAGAGAGAATTTTTCCTTGTAGTTGCGTATAGCAATTAGCACCATCCATCGTGCCGGAACTTTCACGTGTCGTTGCATGAACCTCTCGTCCATATCCTTCTTCGCGATCTTTCTAGCGCCACGTGGTCAAAAGGTCGAAAGTTAATCCGGTGCTCTAGAGACCACTGGTAGTATCGTGGTTTTGCGCCAAAAACGAAATGAAGTCAATGGCTGCTCTGGGTTATAGCACGATGATACAGTTATCGGCAGCTGCAGCATCAACAAGAGTAAAGCTGCATTCGTCGATACTCCGATTCAGCTTCGACTCTTCCGTGTCTCTGAAGGATAATAGCCGTCGCTGCCGATTCCCTGGCCGACGATCGGTTGCTTCTGCTTCGCCTGTTCGCGCCATGGGTTCCTCTGCTTCTTCCTCAAAACCAGAAAACGTTCAAGGTCTCTCTCTCTAATTATATGTTCTGCTCATTTGCTTGGGGGGGGGGGGGGGGGGGGGGGGGGGGGTTCTTGTGGTAACTCTTTTTCGGCGTATGATTTCGGTTTTACCGATTGGCGTCGGCTTCTTGTAGATACGCAGAAGGCCGTTCCGTCGAGTGATGAAGAATGGAAGAAGAAGCTTACGCCGGAACAGTTCTACGTGACTCGTCAGAAGGGAACCGAGAGGGCTTTCACCGGGTAATCTATCGCTGAAAACACTTTCTAATTCCATTCACGTGATCACGTCTATTGGTGATTTGGAAATCTGCATAACGCTTCGCTGCTTTTGTTGTTTGTGAACTGTCAGGGAATACTACAACACCAAAACCCCAGGAACATACCACTGCATATGCTGCGACACGCCGCTGTTCGAGTAAGTGTCTAAACAAGTTTCGAGATCTCGAGAATGCAAATGCATATGCTAACAAACGACAACGAGATCTCTATGTGCAGATCATCGACCAAGTTCGACAGTGGAACTGGGTGGCCATCTTACTACCAGCCAATAGGGAACAATGTGAATTCGAAGCTGGACTTGTCGATCATTTTCATGCCCAGGACGGAAGTCCTGTGTGCCGCCTGTGATGCTCATCTAGGGCATGTGTTTGATGATGGTCCGCCACCAACTGGCCAACGCTACTGCATAAACAGGTATGTAAAATCTAAATGCAGAACGTCGGTTCCCCCCCTTGAGCTCTGTAGATTCGGTTTCCTCAAACATTGGGCATGATCTTTTGCAGCGCGGCACTAAAACTAAAGCCCATGGAGAAATGAAGCTTCTGCTCAACAAAGGTTGGAGCCTTAAGACAGAGATGGAACATCGTGATGATTATGTCATTTTCATTGATGAGTGTGTGTAAATGCAGCTGTAAGAGAGTTATATAGATGGAGAAGTGTTGTCTCTAAGCTCTATTCATACACTGATGAGACAGAGAAGAAGCATATAGCTTCCTTTATGCTACAGTCCGTCACTCACAGATCTTGAATGGAACAAATTTATATCCTCTTGCCTTTGAGACTACTGAAAATTTCTTTTCTAGCCTTTCTGAAGCTAGAAAACATCTATAGTCTTTACCTCTCCTTCAAGAAACTTGGGCAGTTTGAAGAAGATCGGTAACCGACGCCCGATCAGGCATACTGGGGATGGCTCCCTTGACTTGAACACAAAGAGAAGCTGCCGCAGCTGTATGAAAATCAAACAAATTCCGATAATCAAGAGTTATGGAATGAAACATGTTAGCGAACAAACATCATTCATATGGTGAATATGACTACAACAGGATGATGATTTATAAATAGAAGGACGAGCCATCAAAGGGATTAAAGTCGAAACATACCAGCAAATTTCAAGCATTCTTCTTTCGACTTCCCTTCTACAAGTGCAACTGCAAAGGAAGCAGTAAAAGTATCTCCAGCTCCTGTAGTATCCAGAACTCTTGCCGCTGGTATGATAGGCTGCTTAATCGGCTTTTCACCTTCTACAAATAAGGCAGACCCTTTTGAACCAAGCTTCAAAAGGACCTGTTTTACTCCCTGAAAACAATCGCCACATCAAACCATGTCCAAGAACTATATCTCGGCAATATCCCATCAATCCGATGACTAATTATTGACAAACACACAAGTCTCTTTAAAAGAAAGTTAGTAGGATCACTAATCTACACAGGATTTGATGGTATCCAGAAGCATTCCAAACAGGAAGTTTACCAGTCGTCTCCAAGAGCATTCCCAACTTATGCACAAATAACAGCAAGGTTACCAAATAAAATGCACAGATATACACCAAAGAGAACTCGGGTATGCACAGGAAAATTATGATAAGCTGTCCAGAAACGCAAGACTGACCATATTGTGGCACTTCTTGACAGCCTCTTCAATTTGCTCGAAGCTTTCAGTTGGCATCTCAGTGATTCGGGCAAGCTCAGTTTCATTTGGGCTAAAGATGTCCACGGATCTGAGCAGTTCAGCTGGTATAGGCGTATCCATTCCACCAGCATCCAAAATTACGGAAACGCCAGCATCTTTTGCTGCCTAAGGAATCAATACAGGGAAGTATCAATTACAAAGTTGAAAGAAAGGCCATCTGAGTATATTTTCTTATGTAGCAAGACAGGAACCATCACAAAACTAGAGCAGATATGAAATGAAATAATTATCAAAACATTTCTGCTCATTCAGTTATCAGAGTTAGTGATGGTATGAGAAGTCCCAAACCAGGATTACAGTGTCATAGACTGCCAACAAAATCCTGAAGCTAAACCAAAGACTGATGCTTGCTACTACTCTCCATGTAATTCCCTCATTTGTGCTTAGTCTGTATTTTGACATCCATCGAAACGTAAGAATCCTACTGTCTATCAACATATCCCTGTTAGATACCAACCTGGTCATCGATCTCTCGCTTAATATGTATCACATCGTGCATTGATGGAGAATATGCAGAATGCTCATGGGATTCATTAGGCAAGTTTGGTGCTTTTATCGTCTCACTATCTAATTCTGGAGCTAGCAAATTGGTATTTTGCAACAACATGTAGAACTAGCTACAATTTCAAAGGATTAACCTGAGCAACTTGGATGTTCACGGAATCAGGAATCTCTCGCTGAAGCAAAACAATCCCAGCATTCTTCACAATCTCCAAATCCTGATTCCCGAGCTTCTCAGGCCAGCAGCTCATGTTAGCTCCACCAACAATGATAATGGAGTTCTGCCCACCAGCCTGCAGCAGCACGACGGCATGCCCAGTCGGCACACCATCACCAACGTTCCTCAAATGATCGAGACGCACCCCGCCATTTCTGAGAGCTTTAGCGATCAAATTCCCGTGGGCGTCCTCCCCAACCTGACCCACAAAGTAAGTCGGGTAAGAAAGCTTTCCGCCGCAGGCCGCCTGGTTGGCGCCCTTCCCGCCGGCGAGCGTCTGGCCGTTGCTGGCCGAGATGGTCTCTCCTTCCTTGGGCAGCCTGTCGATTTCGACGTATATGTCGGCGTTGGCGGAGCCCACCACGACCAGAGGCGGCGAATCGTGGTGCTGGGTCGCCGAGAATTGATGAGGGTTTTGGGAGGATTTGACGGCGATCGAAGGGAGAATGAGTGATTGCCGACGATGTTTGGTGATGGATTGAATCGGGAAGCATTTCTGTATTGGTTGTGGGTCTGTTGTTGGGTTTTTGCCCGGGAGATTGGGAAAGCAATGGCTTGCTGGGGAAAGGGTTAGTCCCTTCATCGCCCTTCTCCCCCAAATTGGTCTTTTGGCCGGTGATTTGGGGATTACGCCGGCCGGCAACTGATTTTCAATCAAAGAGCTTTTCTTCCTTTTCTTTTGTTTTTGTTTAAAATCTTTGGATTAACTCACGATGACGATTGACGAGAGTTTGACTTTGATTTGATCCAAGGTGGGCTCTCTTGGCGGGCCAATTTACATAAATGGCCACTGAACTTTGGGATTAGTGATCAATTAGTCACTAAGGTCTAAAATGTTGGTTTCCACTTTTAGGGCTGGCTATTTGGTCCCGGACTGTTTGGTTTTACCCGAAACCGGACCGTATAACTCGAACTGGAACCGGATAGCAAACAATGCAATCTCATATTCCGGCTTAGATTTGAGGTAAAAAACCGGATAAAGACCGGAGAGCTATGCCTCAACCAACGACATGCTCGACACGCTTCTTGCCATGGAGATGAAGACCACAATCGCGAGACTACCATGGATTCAAATTGCATCAAATACTTGTTCTTGGTGAGTACCCCAAAGGTGTTTGATTAAGTAGCTAGAGACCTTTAATCAAAAGTTTTGACCACATCATTCAAAGGTTACCAACTAGTTAGGCTGGTAAACCCATGGTTTTACGCTTTATTTCTAGTCCAAAATTCCACATATCCTTGATGTTATTGTAATCAATATGTATATCTTTGAAATTAAAGGATCTTAATTAATGTGGGTGGAAAAAAGAAAAATTCTTAGCATGTGAAAGTCGAGCATGGATAAAATTATTGATAAAGGAACCATTAGTAGATAAACGAGAAGATACCATAAAATTTATTGTCAAAAGGAAGTATTGTTTTGTCGAAACAACTTAATTTACGGGCTAGCTCTTGATTTTCATCACTATGTTTCTCTTAGTTCATTTTCCTCACTTATCTTGGTTTATCAGGATCTTTTTGTAGCCGGTACTGATACAACTTCGAGCACGATAGAATGGTCTATGACAGAGTTGCTCCGCAATCCCGACAAACTTGCTAAATCTAAGGAAGAACTAAACCAAACTATTGGAAATGGCATTCATCTTCATGAGTCAGACATCCCTCTGGAAAAAATCCCACTGTACACTAGTTATTAAAAAAAATTCCCAAAATACATAAGTTATAAAAAAATTTCCAAAAGTACACATGTTTGAGCATCACCGTTTTAGACAAAGGCGGTGAAGGTTATCACCGCGTTTAATAAACACGGTGAAAATTTCACCGTTTTAAAGTAAAACTGTGATGCCTTCACCGTCTTAGTCTAAAACGGTGAATGCATCACCGTTTTAAACTGAAACGGTGAAGAAATCACCGTTTTAATCAAAAACGGTGAGGACTTTACCGTTTTTGTAGGCCACGGTGAAGTCGCTGACGTGGACAGACACGGGGTATTCACCGCGTTAGACAAACACGGTGAATACCCCGTGTTTGTTTGCGTCAGCGATCCGCGCCAGTGTGCTTTCACCGTGGCCGTTAGATGCGGTGAGGCGCGGATCGTGGTTTTCTTCCCACGATCCGACGCCTCACAGCACGCCACGTCACCTTTGAAGTAACCGTTTTTGGTTAATGCGAGGAGTTCACCGCGTTCCTCAAACGCGGTGAATGCTCCCCTAATAACTGCGCATTAGCTCCTCCCCCCTTCCCCCAACTATAAATACCCCCTTCCCCTTTCACTTTCAACTCACCCCACAAACATTTCACTTCTTTCTCCCTCAATTTATCCGCTCTAGTCTCGTTCTAAGTATGCTCTGTGGTTGCGGCTAAGTCCGATCTTCCACATCAGAAAGAATTACTAGAGTTTGACCCTAAAGCCCCCGTCCCGCTAAGTTCCCGTCCCTTACAAACCTAAAATCGTTGAACCTCTGTCCGGCCTACGCCAAAAAATGGACGAAGAGGCTCTTCGTGTAGGTTTTTGGTTTATGAATTTTTTTTAATCGAAACAATTTGATTTTTTTTTATCAAAACAATCTCTGATTTCATTACTTTTTTATAGATGGATGCCGAGATATACGATCCTCGATTGTATATCCATTATGGCCCAAGGGATGCGAGTCTCTTAACCGATCAAGAAGCTCATCGCTCCCGTGCTATTTGGGATAACTATCCGGTAATTTTTTGAGTATTCTTGCTTTATTTTATTATTTCCTAAGGTTTTATTTTGCTTTATTTAATCTAATAAATTGTTGTTTTCCCTATTTGTTTTAGGAATCGCTTGTTCCCGTGGTTCATAAAGGGACCAATAACTTGCCCGCTTGGCATCCAAGGTTGGAGCCCTACATAGCGAGGACCGGTTTGGGAATGTTGCGCCATTTCTTGCGGATCGAGATCGACAACGATCTGCTTATGGCAATGGCGGAACGATGGCGTCCCGAAACCCATACATTCCACCTTCCGGAGGGGGAAATGACGATCACCCTCAAAGACGTGGCGATCCTCACCGGGCTTCCTATTTCTGGAGATGCAATCATTGGTTCCACGACCAAAGCTGAAGGAGGTTGGGGGCCGCTCATACGTGATCGTTTGGGCTTCGACATGCCGACCACCACACCAATTCAAGGACGGGGGCATCCACCGTTGAATGCGGGGCAAGTGTCGGTCCCGTGGCTGGTATCTCACATCCAGCAAGAGGTGGAAATCAATGACGAGACACCAGAAGAACAAGTCGAGCGCTACGCCCGCATCTACCTCATCGGTTTGGTGGGTGGATTTTTGTTCCCCGACAAGTCCAACCGGTGGATTCAAGGCATATGGTTGCCATTGCTCACTGGTGACTGGGATGCAATTGGAGAGAAGAGTTGGGGATCGGCCGTGCTAGCGGGCGTATACCGGGAGCTGTGTACTTGCTCGAAGGTTGGGGCAAAGCAAGCTGGTGCTGCGATGTTCATCCTGCAACTGTGGGTATGGGAGCATCTCCCGATGTTCGCACCTCTCGACCCACGTCCATACCGGAGAAACGATGATGAACTCAACTTTCTGCAAAATCTCCCCTACGGTGTCAAGTAAGTTTATTTCGTACTTAGCCCAATTTAATTTTGATTGCATGCTTAGCTAGATTTAAATTGAATTTATTCCGTACTTAGCCCAATTTAATTTTGATTGCATGCTTAGCTAGATTTAAATTTTATTTATTACGTACTTAGACCAATTTAATTTATTATATGCTTAGCTATATTTCAACTAAATTGATTCCGTACTTTTACTTACAAGGTGGATAGGAGCAAATACGAATGACCATCAACCTGAGCATTCGTTATTGTTTTATCGTTCTGAGTTAGATAAACCATGGTGGAATCAGGTAATCATGTTTTGTCCATATTTGAACAAGTTAAATTTTGTCAATGTAAATGGTCATTAATTCCGAATTTTTGAATGAATATAGGTTATATGGGATCCATATCCACGTGAAGTGGTTGAGCTGCATCATCTTAGGCACCCTCTGGATCACGAGACGTGGTTGTGCAAGGTGCCATTGATCTGCTGGCACATGGTGGAATGGCACCTACCCGATCGATCTCTGAGGCAATATCGAATGGAGCAACCAATTCCACAAGACCCGCCAGCAGGTTTCAGGGAGCTACATGCCATTGACCTCCGACACACTGCAAAGAACTGGGTGCTAAAGCATGGATTCTACATCAACATCTGGGAGAATCGGTCCCAATGGGTGGTGCAAGGGATGCCGGAGACGAGACCGATGGGCTACCACGATGGGTACATGCAGTGGTATCGGAAGTTCACCATGAGATGGGTGTCAAAGCAAGGTGCTGTGATGGGGTCGTTGGTAAGTCATCCTAATCTCCCTCATTCAAAAATCTATTTATTTTAAGGTTTAGTTAATTTGATATGTGGCGTGCTTTCCTTAGGTTGATGGTTTGGAACACGCCAAGTACACTCTCGAAAGTGCTCCAACCATGGATGAGCGGAAGACTACTTGGTTGACCCGACTTATGAACAACCTCCTGAGTTGTACCAGAGAGCAAAGGAGGGATGTCGTGGCCTATCCTCCCGTTCCTGTCCCGTCACGACCCTCATTCCGTGATGATGCACCCATTGTGCCCCCGGTTGAGCCCCCACGAAGGAGCAAACGCAGGCCTCTGCCTACGTTCGATGAGGTGCGTACAACTCAAGAAACCGAGATCCCTGAACCGTTCGAGTACCAGTGGGCACCTACAGCGGAAGCCGGTGGAGGGTCATCGAGTCGTGGAGCATCTCAGGAGTGGGACACTTTCTCTCATGGGTTCTCTCAATTCCAACATCAGCAACAGAGTTCGATGTATCAGAGGCCGCAACAACAAACTCCGCAACCTCCGATCATTCGCCAAGCTACCTCTCCATCTCAGCCACTACCACCAACATATGTAACCCCAATTGGGGCTCGGGTCAAGAGAAATCCGCGACCAGCCGTTGAGCGAGCCCGCCAAGAAGCAGCGGCGGAGGGGGGAAGAAGGGGTCGAGGACGTCGTGGAGGACGAGGAGGAAGAGGTGGAGATGGGGGCCAAAATGAAGCAAATGAGTGAATTTATCGTTTTATCCTGCAGTAGTGATCTATCCATGTTGTTTTGGTGCTTTTTAGGTGTTGTTATTTGAGTTTGCATTGTCTAAAAACTATCCTACGCACTTAAGTTGTCGAATGAATTTTCCGGATCATTTTATCAAGAATCAGTATCTTCCCTCAACACAAAAAAGTTGGGAAAATCAACCACGATCGCATAGAATTTTACAGATCTCAATTCCGAGTCCAAACGAGTGAGATAAGTGACGTCAAAGCGCGATCGTATCGTTAAAGTAACTTTTGCGTACTAAAAACTAAAACGCGCGTATCTTATTCGTTTGAGGTCGAAATAACGAGCCGTTTGCGGCAGCGCGATCGTATCGACAAGGAAAAAATTTTAGAGTTAACAAAATACTTGGACTTCAAATGCAAACGGTAATGAAAAATTAAACAAGCGACCAATTTAGTAGCAGAATACAAGTAAATGCAAATTAAGTTGATGGTTGTCCTGGGCAACGCCTCTTGTCGTGACCAGGTTGTCTGCACTTAGAGCATCGCTTCGGTCCTCTTCTCGTCCTGTCCAATATGCTTCATCTGGCATGGGGCTCAAAGCTGCATTATATGAGTTCCGTATCGCTTGTTCAGTGTAGTAAGGACTCACCAGGCTGTTTCTGTTCATGGTTATTGACTTAGCAACCGCCATTGCATGTGAACAGGGTATCCTTTCGTTCTGATACTTTTGACAAGAACACTCCCCTAATTCGCAGTGCAATTTAACCGTTTGACGATTGTGACCACGTCTCCCTCCACCCCATATACTTGTTTTGACAACGAATATTCCTTCACTGCGGTTAAAAAGAACAACCTTATGCTTACTTGATTTTTCATCGTTCTTCTGCATTTGAGCGAATACGTCATGTGCTACTGAATGACCTTGCAACTCCCTCCCTATAGCTAGCTGTAGCTGAGCAACTCGCCGCTCGTTGACCTTCCAATAAGACATTTCCACGATGACAGAAATAGGCATCGCTCGAAGACCCTTGTACACATTATTTATACTTTCTCCATGGTTGGTAGTTGCAATGCCCCATCTGGCCCCGTTGTCCATATGGAACGTCCACATGGGCAACTCTTGACCTTCAGCCCATACTGCTCCAGCTCGATGGGTCTGACGGATCGTTTTCATCTTCTGCTCGTACTTTTTTGGTTGATGTGCAACCGCTAAAAGGTGAACAAAAGACTAACTGGTCAATACATGATGAATAACATCAGCTTATCAGCTTAATAAACACAAACTTAAATCGCATAAGAAAAACATTAGTACCTGCATTCCAAAGTAGATTTTTGATGTCTTTCTTCTTCCCAAATTTGTGTTGGAAATTGGCGAGCCAGTGTCGAATACACTGTAACACCCTACCCTATACGTTTTGCCTAATCATATTGTTCATACAATTGCAGCGGAATTAATCTCGGGTGTTACATTAATTATCAAAATTTACCTAAATAAAATTTCGACATGAATTATTCGCGTAATGGGCTAACAGTTCTTCCATATGATCCTGCAAAATAATTCATCTGAATCCATGCATTCATAGACAAACACATATACTCACAACCATATGCATTGGCTTTTCATAGCCATAGTCACAGTTTCATACTACACAACTGCATACCATACTTATACATACCATAATCGTCACAACTTACACAGTTACACAAATATACACATATCATCAACTTTCCACACCTGTGGATATCTCACACTAGATCAGAAGCTAGTATGCACATGAAAAACGTTCTCAAAACATTTTTTTACAAAAAGGTGTGGATCACTGGCCAAAATCCCGAGTAGTAGTCCAAGCACAGAATAGTTGAAGACCATACCTAATCCTTGCTTCAACTCTAGCTCCTCTCCCACCTAACACTTATCTACTGCTGCTGCTGATGATCTGCTTACACATAGCATAAGCAGAGAAGAAGAATAAAAGAGGGTCAGCTCATAGCTGAGTGAGATAATCATAGCATCGTGAGTTCATAACAGAGCATACCCCTACCATACATCTAGCAAACAAGCCAAAGCACTGGGATCATATCTCAGCCCTCCAACATCCCAATAGGCAAAAGACTCAACCACCTTGACTTATGCATATGCATCTTATCATGTTTTAATCATAGGCGCCTGGCTACTCCCATGCTAATAACTCTCCCGGGAAACATACCCCACATCCCGTCGGATGTAGTCATACATACCCCAACATCCCGTCGGATGTGGTCATACATACCCCACACCACTATGGGTGTAGTCATACCCCGACACCGCTCTGGGTGTGGTCATATCTCATAAGAATTCTTCAGTCACCACCATATGAGAGGTGTGACTATCATACATATCATAATAGAGTAATAGCATAGGGAACCCTAATTACTATGTAGTTGACCGTGAGACCACAACACTGATATTTGGTATCCTTATACATGATTCATATCTCATCTTGCTTAATCATAATTCATTACTTGCACATGTACTTGACCTGGCCATAATTGGCTCGACATAGGTAAATCAGGAGTCGTATAATTGCACTTCCTCGGGGTAAACCCTCGTGCAAGTCATCCTCCTTAAACATCATAATATCACCAAGGAATATATATTTTCCCACTTGTGCATCCAAATACAACAATCATGAAAAATCATACCTAATCACCTTCTCGAACCATCGTAAAGCATATTAACAGTCAAGCCCACAATTTGCAATATATACACAATCATCAGCATAAACAAGGTTCATATCGATTAGGGCAAGTCAATAATATCATACAGCAATCCAGGGTTCAACATATAGCACAAAAGCTCATACACCCCTAATCATGCCATTCTAGTTCACCTAGATCAATTCTAAGCATCAATATAATTATCGTGATACGACAAACCCGGTATGCCGTGCTAATCCCTCACCAGTTCTGGTCGTTCAAACACCGGTTTAACCTTCACGTGCTAAAACGTCAATTTCATGAACGAACCCCGAATTAAAATCCGAGACCGTCCTAATACCCCCTGCAGTATCCCCGTCAATATTAGTTCTAGGCTTCGGGTCAAATTCTCGATAAAAACACATCAAACCCCGGCCGGAGCTAAATTCAGCGATTCGGACCCCGACCTAAATAATTTCCGAAATTCATGAATTAGAACTAGAGGATTGATTACCTCGCTGCAAGAAGCTCGTATCTGAAATTTGGGCTCAATCCGGCTTCTGGATACTCCGAAACCCTAATTTGGCAGATCGGGAATTCAAGAAATTCCTGAACCAAAAACTCGTTTTAAAGCTCTAAATCGATAAATCACGATGTATAGATGAATTAGGCATTACTTACGGGATTTTTGGATCACTAGGGCTCAAGAATTTGAGCTGGAGAATTTTTCCCCTGACGTTCCCCTGAACGCTCTGTTTCTCTGCTTCTCTCGTGGAAAGTAAAAAGAAGAAGAAGTTGATATGGTTTCTGGAGAGTTGTATGGGAAGGGAATTAAATGTCCCATGTATATATATATATATATATATAATTAATACGTATACTTATCCGATCGATCGATAATCCGATTTTCGCCGAAATAGTGTCGAAATGCTCGATTTTAAATCGCGAGCTTTCTAGCGATCGAAATATGGGTTTTACCGGAACAGGATGTTACATACACCATCTCCATCTCCACCCCCACTCGTCGGGAAAACCACCAACAGCATTCCTTATCCCCGCATGTCGATCGGATATAATCGTAATATCTTCCCGCTGTGTCACGTGTTCGTGCAGTTGGTCAAAGAACCAAGCCCAACTTAAGCTGTTCTCCCCTTCCACTAATGCAAATGCAAGCGGGAAAATCCGCCTGTTTCCATCAACGCCAGTGGCAATTAGAAGACATCCTCTGTGCTTCCCAGTAAGGAAAGTTCCGTCAACCTGAATAAAAATTTAGGATATAATTAGTATGAAATATACTTAACAGCAAATAATACAACATTTAAAACCGGAACTAGTTGGTAAAATACCTGAATAACCGGTATGCAGAACCCAAAATCGTCAATGCATGGTTTAAAAGCCCAAAATAGACGATGGAACATCAGCTTATCCTGTACTCGAACTTGATCCTCAGTGTATACATTGTTGTATACTGGGACGAAAACAGTCCCAGGATTGGACTCCTCCATTGCTCCCATAAGTCTAGGGAGTAAAGCATACGAATCCTCCCAATCACCATACACCTCAGCCATGGCTTTCTGCTTACCTTGCCATGCTTTTTTGTACCTTATCGTGTAAGAATGTCGATCCTTCACCTCTGCCATGATAGCTTTCACCTTGATATCTGGTTGTGCTTCTATAAGGTGCTTAATAGTTCTCCCAACCTTCTTTGCTTTTAGTTGCCTGTGATCTTGGGAAAGTATAGAAGAGGAGCATGTGTGGATCGTCTCAGCTTTGCGAATCACCCAAGCACCCTTTCTCTTCATATTTGCAGCCCGCAGTTGCCACGTACAACCCTCTGCATCATGCTTGCATATGACATGTAGTTGTTTACTGTCAGAATATTTTACCTTCCACTCGAAATTGCGCCTCAACGCCTCTTCTGTAAAAGCATCCTGCACAGCGTCTTTCGATGTGAACGCCATACCCACCTCCAAATTGGCCGTCGGATTGTACACTGGCATAGGGACAAAGTCGGGGGGATCATTCTGACTATGTAAAAATTGAGTTGGAACCTGTGTGTAATATGGCGTGGGTGCCTCACGAAATGCCGCCTCATCCTCGTTAGCATCAGTATCTTCCTCCTCCTCGCTCAGTGATATCAAATCTTCCTCAGTATCCTCGTCGCTCGACTCGAATGGATAGCTCGGGCTAGAAGGATCAACATGACCACGATCACCAACATCGTCCTTTCGCTCATGTGAAGTACGCCCTGATCGAATGGTATTCTCGATTCCATACCACTCTGGCCCCCAAGCAGGCCATTGAACACCATCGGCCTCAACAAATGGGGCTGGTTTAGGAGGTTGCGAGTATTTGTCCCATCCTGCACTACTCGATCCACCGTAGTTGATTGAACCACCACCCTCCCCGTAACCTCCTGTATAACCACCGCCTTGGTAGTTGCTCGAACTACCACCCCATTCGTACCCTCCTGCAAAACCATCATCATAAGAATACTGGTGAGAATGAGATTCACCGACCGCCTCGGTCTCAACATACACCTCTGCAAGCCGGACTTGGTTATCGCTTAGGAACTGTAACATCATCATAACCGCGTCATCATCGTTTATGACAACTTCTTGGAACACGACCCCGCCAGCACTCATGTCTCGATACCGGTAAGTAATTTTGCCAAGTCTCGTCTGTCCGCTCGTACAAACCCTTTCTGCACAAAGATCACAGAGTTCTTGAAAATTGAATCGGGAATCAATTTTCAGCATAATGGATTCGCCGTCCTCATAATCAATGCATATGTCAGAGTTTGTAACCCTTCCATTCCACCGAATAGTAAGATGAAACTTCTTGAATTTACCCATATCTACAATTTACAATAAGTATCTATTAGCTTAAAGACAGTAAAATTAACCAAAATCATATTGTACAACTAATATTAAATCATACCATAACTAACGAAAATAAATTCAACTAACTAACAACAACATAATACGAAAATTAAATCATACTATAACTAACGAACATAAGTTCAACTAACTAACAACAACATAATACGAAAATTAAATCATACTATAACTACTAAAAACATAATTAGACTATAATACGAAAAGTCTCAACATACCGAAAAATTTATGTTCTGTGTATTATGCTCGATTTTGGCTGCTGAAATTTGAAGAAAGGGGAGTGGTTATGTTTTTACAACTGCTGGTGGTGTGCAATTTATAGGAAAATCTGCCTACTATTCACCGTTTTTGTCGAAAACGGTGAACACCATCACCGCGTTTGTCTCAAACAGTGAATAGGTGGTAGCTGCGACCTAATTTTGACCTACCAGGGGTGGGAAACGTGGGAAATGATCACCGCGTTACTTAACAACGATGAATGGGTTCACCGTTTTTTACCAAAACGGTGATGTGTTCACCGTTGTTAATTAACGCGGTGAAAACTTAACCGTTTTAGTTTGAAACGGTGAATACTTCACCGTTTTTGTTTAAGACGATGAAGTATTCACCGTGTTCGTCAAACGCGGTGATGACCTTCACCGCTTTTGTCTAAAACGGTGATGCTCAAACATGTGTACTTTGGGAAATTTTTTTATAACTCATGTATTTTGGGAATTTTTTTTAAGAACGTGTGTACAGTGAGATTTTTTCCCATCCCTCGATTACCATATTTACAAGCAGTAGTGAAAGAGAACTTTAAACTACACCCACCAGTTCCCTTACTACTTCCTCGCAAGGCGGGGTGGATGTGGAAATATGTGGTTTCACATAGCCCAAAGGTGCCAAAGCCTAAAATTCTAGTCAATGTATGGGTAATAGGCCGGATCCGATTACATCCGGAACTCATTCATGCCGGAAAGATTCTTGAGTTCAAAGGTTGATGCTAAGGGGAACAATTTTGAACTGCTTCCATTCGGCGTAGGAAGAAGAATTTGTCCTGGAATGCCGTTAGCATTGAGAATGTTGCACATGATGGTTCCTTGGTTCATTTGGTTGAGTGGAAGTTGCCAACCGTGGTCATGCTAGAGAAGATAGATATGGAAGAGATGTTCGGGATGGCCTTGCAAAAGTCCGAGCCTTTGCTTGCTGTTCCAACTCCCATATGAGCTGATTCTGGCATATCAAGACTATTCACTGTATTTGAAAACTATTGCTCTTGTAATATGTTATTTGAAAACATTATTTTTGTTTTGAGTATTTTGAAAGTGACATTTTGACAAAAAGAGTTGGGGATTAGCGAGTATCTAATTGATATTTCAAATAACCAAACATGAAATTGAGGCAAAACCCATATTTCCCTCCTTATTTCGCTTGTTATACCATTACATTAAAGCCATATTAAGCAACCATTCATTGGACATTGTAGCACGTACACTTATTACTAAGAATCAACGCCAAATTTCTTCCTGAGCATGACAACAAAGTCATGCACTTTAACAGGATCAGGAAGAGCCTTGTTAACACTCTCCTTCTTCATGCATCTCTTTGCCCAATCCACCAATTTGGGGCACTCTGCTTCAATGCTGATGTTCCCAAACTGCTCATAGGTATAGAACCAGCTGTAATATGGAACCAGAGCAATGTCCACATACCCAAGCTCTTCCCCTCCAAAGTATGGTTTGTCACCAAGCTGTGACTCCATGAGTTTGAGGGAGTCAACTAGCTCCTTCTTCCCCTTTTCCACTTCCTCCCCTGTCTTTATCCAGATCTTCCTCCCAAACTCAAATATCTGCACCACAAACAAACATTAATTATTATTCATGTATAGAATGTGGACGGACAATGGTGCACAAGAACAAGGTGGGCTTGGAGATGAGCAGATTACTATGTATGTACCTCGTCGATATAATGGGCCCAGAATCGGGCCTGGGCTCTTTGGTATGGATCGGAAGGGAGGAAGACAGGCTTGGCGTCGCCGGCCCAGAGCTCGTCGATGTACTGCACGATGACGAGAGACTCGCAGACGGGGCTGCCGTTGTGGATGAGGACGGGGACCTTCTTGTGAACCGGGTTCATCTGAAGCAGAAGTTGGGTCTTGTTGTTGACGACGTCCACGCTGACGTACTCGTACTGGACTCCTTTCTCCGCCAGCGCAATCATTGCCCTCATCCCATACGGGCTCGGCCAGTAGTTCAGTAGAACCACCTCCTCACTCTTGCCCATTTTGCACTTCGATCCTCACTTTCTACAAGAAAGAAGGGTCAGGTTTTGAAAATGGTTGGGGGGTTTCTCAAGGACTGACGCTATATTATATATGTAGAGTGGCCGGAAGCAGTTTTAATTTATTGGTGGAACAGTTTTAGGGAAGGGAAGGTAGGTGGCCATTTCTAAAACGTGAGGTTTACATTCACTCATGTTGTTGAGGGAACCAAACGGGCCGGGCCCGGGCATAAGTGGGTAAGGGTTGAGTGGCGCAGGGTTATTTTTTCCTTCTTCTTTTTTGGATATTTTATTTCAATATTATGAACTAAAAACTTTATTCAGATTGAGGTCCGTTCTATATAATGACGACTTTGGCCTTGCAGGATATCTTATATTCACTAAGTAACAATCATCATCTCTAATAAGTCCTGCAAAGTCACGGTGGGGTCCATGATAAGTATTTGGGGTTGCCCACCCTTTTTGCCCGTTCCAAGATGGTCACCTTCCGTTATTTGGAGGAAAAGCTTCTGGAACGCCTAATGGGTTGGAAGCAACGCACCTTATCTTGGGCAGCGAAGGAAACCTTGATTAAGTCCATTGCTATGGCTTTGCCACTGCATGTGATGTCCTGTTTCAAACTCCCAGTGTCTCTGTGTCGTACTTTGGATAAACATGTGGCCAGATTTTGGTGGGGTGTAACGGAAGATCACTTTAAAATTCGATGGGTGTCCTGGCGGAAGATGTGCAGAAGTAAACATGAGGGTGGTATGGGATTTCGCAGGTTTGAGCAATTTAATCAGGCTCTGCTAGCCAAAATTGGTTGGCAAATCTTGAACGATCCACTGTCTCTGCTTGCTCAGGTCTATAAGGGGAAATACTTTCCGACTGGGTCTTTTCTTACGGCAACGGCTCGCTCCCGCCCTTCTTGGGGCTGGCAGAGCATCCTCTTCGGTCGTCAGTTGCTAGAGCAGGGACTGCGGTGGCAGATTGGGAATGGTAGGTCGGCCCCCATGCTCAACTCCAATCGGATACCTCAACATCAGTTTGATCACGTCCAGATCAATCCGGTGGTGTTGTCGGAGGATGGGGATGTGAAGGTGGCGGAACTTATCGTGCCTGGGGAGGGCCGCTGGTGTGAGAATAAACTTAGTCGCTGGTTTGATCCCCCTACATGTAAAGTCATCAAAGCTATTCCACTCCCTCAGAGGAATATTGAAGATAGGCTTATTTGGCACGCGACTGAAGATGGGGTTTTCACTGTCAAATCAGCTTATCACCTTGCTGTCTTGATAGACAAGAGGAGGGGGGTGGCAGTCTACTGTCAGTTGGATGGATAAGGCAAGCTGGATACGTCTCTGGGAGGCGGATATCCCTCCAAAGCTGAAGGTATTTGTCTGGCAGATCCTCTCTCGTGTCCTCCCTACGACGGAGGCTCTCATCGAGCGAAAGGTTCAGGTTCGTCCTCGTTGCCCGGTGTGCTGGGCGAGGTCTGAAACGCTTGAACACCTCTTTCTCTACTGTCCGGTTGCGCGGGCCCTCTGGGATCACGCGGGCTTGGATTACCTGGGTGAGGGGTTGCCTCGTCAGACTTTTCCTCTATTTCTTAAGAAGCTCATGGCGCTGATAAATCAACCAACGGTGTTCATGGCTGTGGTAGCCATCCTTTGGAGGATCTGGCGGTCACGAAACTGGGTTGTGTTTGAAGGCAAACAGTTCGATATTCCGGTACTGATGCGCCAATTTGTCCAGCAGTATGAGGAATGGGTGCGTTTGCCTAAAGAACGGGTCTGTCGACCACCCCAGCCTGATCAGGGCCAGCTAAGCTCAGATGGCCTTCCTCGGATGGTCTGTAGATGGGATGGTGCAACGAGGCGTGGATCTCATTCGGCGGGAGGTGTTGTTTTGTTTTCTCAGACTGGGGAGGTAGGCATGGTCAGGGGAATTCAGTTTCCGGGAATCGATAGCCCCCAGTTGGTGGAATTACTTGCGCTCAGGGAAGATGTGATATGGTGTTCAGGGTTAGGGATCACGGACATGGTGTTTGAAGGGGATGCTAAAGTTATCATCGAGAAGATCAATAGAGGTGACCATAGTGATAGCCGGATGGGTGCTGTGCTGGAAGAGCTCGTGCAATATTTTCACATCCATCCAGGGTTTAGTATTCGATTCATAGGTCGGTGTAATAATAGGGCGGCCCATTTGGTGGCTAGGAAAGCCCTTTCTTTGTACCCTACCATGAGTCGTTTCTTTGACTTTCAGACCTGGCTGATCTCCAGGGTGTAACTGTCGTTTCCGAATCTATATAAGATTATCTTTTGTCAAAAAAAAAAAAATCTCTAATAAGTCGCATTTAGAATCTTCATAGCGAAAGTGTATGTAGTCTCAGATTTTTTTCAAAAATAAACTTTAAAAATATTGTAGCCCACCCATGCGTCGACAACTTCATAATCTTCTGCTCCTTTAATTACGTCAAACATTTGTAGATCGTGTATCTCATTGATCGTTTGTTTGATTATTACAGCAGCAACCAATAAAACCTCTCTCCCCATTCTCATCAGTTGATTCCGCGTCTCAGCCTCCATGCACCCCCACCCAACGATTCGGATTCCCAGTTCTCCATCTTCCCTCGACCCCTCTCTGATAGTCGTACTCGCCGCCGTCGATTATTCCTCTCAGTGCCGTCGTGAACTAGAATGGAGGAGTGGAGTCGCGACACAGATCTATTCTCCGTCGGATCTTCTCTCTCCCGTCGCTCATTGTCTCTCCAATCGCACCAGAATCACCGCCAAACCCTCTTATTTGCACAGGGACGGGAGCCATGTTGGCTTTAATCGGAGGTGCTGGTCGGTCGATCCGATAAGAAGCAGAGGAAAGGGAGATGGAGCCAGCTGTTGCGTGTTCATCTCAGCTGCGACAGAAGTCGGAGGTTTGGGGCTTGAGTGGGTCGGTTATTGGGTTGGGTTTGGTTAAAGGGTTGGATTGGGCTGGGCAAGAAGACGTGGCGGGGGTTAGTGTTGTGGCGGGTCGGATCTCATTATTTTAGGGTTTAATTAGGCTGATTGGATGATTCTGTCTGCCACGTCAGCACATAACCGTCTTCGTTAACGGAGATGGACGGAGACTAACGGAGAGTGACCAAACCTGAACTGTTTTACTAAATCTAGTGACCATTATTGAAATTAAATATTTATAGTGACCAAACATGAACCTTTTTAGTATTTCCAGTGATCAACCTTGCAATTTACCCTAATATATTAATTAATGGAGTGGTTGAGGGAAGACTAATTAATTATTTAACTTTATATATATCTTGATTTAATTACTTTGCTAAACTGATTAATACATATTCATCAATTAAATAAAACTGATTAATAATTTCAATCTACACTACCTAGCTGACAATGGGTCAACATATTAATGATTTTATTCGATCTTCATCTGCTGCAAAAATAATAAAATATGCTAGTTATAAATTAATAAAAAATTAATTAGTTTATTGATGAATATCATTCACAGCATATGGCACTTGCGGTGTTTAAATGGCCATTTCCAGTGGCAATCAATTAACTAACCGGTCCCTTTGATTTGATAAATGTCGTTAGATTTGAGTCTGATGATCGATGTAGAGAGCGTTTTATATCAGATGGAAATGACACCTACAGGCTGTTCGATCAAAACCATCATAAGCACCTCTGTAATATTCCACAAGTCCAAGTTGGCTCGAAAAGAATGTCACCACCAATGAATTCCAAAATCCATCATTTCTACTATGTTTTAAAGTATTGGTGTTTTGAGATACAATTTATAGTTTTACCATAACGTTAATGTAGAGTAGTCAAAATCCCGACATAAATCCTAAAATCTTAAGATTTTACTTAGCTATTCCCATTATGATTTTACTATAAAATCTATGGACCTTAAAATTTTAATTCTAATCTTTGGGTCAATATTACTTATTTTCCTCAAAATTTTCAAAATTACGCATCTTTTCCTTCTCATCCACCAACATCATTCATTTCTCTCGCGCTAACCACCATCGACCATCATCAATTAACATCAATGTATTAATCATCATCGATTCATCACTTCCCCATAATAATCTTGATAAATTGGAACAATAAATATGATAAATTATCATTGTATGTGTTATGTGTTTTTGTGTTATTCACGATATCACTTATATGTGTTTTTGTATAAAAAAATATATATATTAATATATATAGCCATTATCATATATATATACTTGAGTTCCACATAGTGTCAAATGTTAGTGTCAAATATAAATATATATATATATATATGCTCTAAAACACAATCTACGGTGAGACGTACATACAAATTACTTTTGGCGCCGCTAACATTTGACACTATGTGGAACTCAAGTGTGTATAGGTTTACGTCCACCCCAGCTTGCCGTTACGGGGTGAATGGAACATTTGACATCGTTGATGTTTTTGACGGAATTGATTATATCTATCCACTAAACATCTCAAATGCCACATTAGCCAAGTATTTCAAACATGTCGAATGAGGCTTAATCAGTTTATACGAAGTTTTTAATAAATACGAAAAAGTGATTTTGGGAGTACGAAATTAAGAATAGCAATTATGTGCGACATTTGTGTCTTGACTCGCTATGACACAACACCTAACAATGGCCAAGTGTAACCAATGGAAGGGACTGCAGTATAGTGGCTCAAGTGATAAATATCGAATCCACGGGTCTCTAGAATTACTATTACTCAGCTTCAGTTTATTATTTAGCAAACCATATCAAGATGAAAGAACTAAAACTACTCTAGCAAACTACAGTTAAAGTTAATCTAATTACAGGTTGGGAACTCACTTAGGTATGATTCCCCCTAGCCACTAGCCAGACTAACGATTGATGATTTCTAACTTGTTTCACTTTCATTCACAATGTGGAGAATCCTTGACTAGACCTTGAGTCTCGACTAAAGGAACAAGGCCCTCTTGAGTCAATTGCCTAGAGGGACATATCCTTCTCTAGAACAACTGATCAAGGCGTTCTGAACTAGACTCCCTCTATCGAAAGAGGTTCTCAATCGATACAAAGCAGTGAATCAACCCTCGACTAAAGCAATCGATCCACTACTATCAATCTATGGTGCTCTATTGACCTAATCAGGTATTCCCTCTCATAGGATCAAAGCAGAATCAATAATCTTGACTAAAGCAGAATTGAATCATGAA